CTGGGCGACAGGTTCCAGATCGTATACACAGTCCTCATATTTCTCCCATCTACTACACAAAGGAACCCATCCGCTTCATCTACTAGTGTGTCAACCTATATAACTAACTGTTTCCAATATTATGACCGGCAACCTGTCTCTGTCTTACAGAATTGGGAGACGACTACCAAAATCACCTGGGTTCTCCATACAGTACAAGGCTATGTCATAGAGTTTTATCACAGCCGTGCAGGTCGCCCTTCACCTCCATTACGCACGCTGGCGGAACAGGAACGCCTCGTGGACAAGAAAATCTGCACCCTCTTCAGGAGGGGCGCAATTCAACATGCACCGGAGGGGAAGGCTTCCCCAGCAAATTTTTCCTGGTCAAGAAGAAGCCAGGAGACTACATCAATGGAACTCCTACATGGTATACAAATGCTGCAAGATGGAGGAAATTCGTCTTCTACAAGACCTCCTAGGCGATAACGACTGGTTTACACATCTGGACCTCAAGGACGCACGCTTGTCAGTACCCGTTGCCCTGGACTGCCGAAGTTTTCCTCCGATTCCAATGGTGAGGACAAACACAGCAGTTTACGACTCCGTGGTGCTCGCGAACCTACTGTAACCAGTGAGGGCACACATCCGTAAATTTGGGCGTGCGATGCCTCGTATACCTGGAAGACTTGCTGATTCTTTACGAATCCAGGCTACGTTTGCAGACAAATTTGTCGTTCACTTTCGGGACTCCATGGGTTTTTTGTTGTACACAGACAAAGATCGCTTCTCCATCTGAATCGGGCCAGTTCCTCGGTTTCGACATCGGCTTGGAGAACTACGTTCCGCGTCCGTCTACGGCAAAGAGCGCCTCTATAAGGATAGCTGTCGGATTGTGGGATTCCTCTCCTCCTCTCCTCCTCCATACAAGCGTTATTCCCTGGCCCACTACGACTGATGGTGAGATACGTACGCACCGGTCACTCATACGACCACTGGATCCCACTGTCAGCGGAAGTGAGGATGGAATTTCGATGGTGATTACTTCACATACAAACTTGGATTGGCAAAACGATCTTTGACTCTTCCTTTGGATACAGGGCGATGGATGAACCACTGCAAACATGACCCAGCCGTTCTCCACAATAGCAAGGGTGCTTCGATACACACACACACCCACAAGATACAAGATTTCCCGGATCGCCTGGAGATGTCTCGCGAAGACCCTCTACTACTCCCTACCTTCCCTCTACTTCTGACGGGACCTCGAGGGGAAGCCCACTCCCTTGTCATGGAAGGACAACTGGCACTAGTTGCCTGGACGGTTTCAGGGGCTCCTGGTCAGTTCACGACCTATTGCATCAACTAAGACCTCCTATGGGACTCATAGGCTCCCGGCACCAGGAAAGGCTATATTTCTGCCTGGTCGGCCTGGAGTGATTGGTGTGTGGAAAGGGATTCCGATCCCTTTACCGCACCTGTCCCACTGATCCTCAACTATCTGTCACACCTGGTCTCGTTGGGTGGGTCATATCGATCCCTCAATGTGATCAGATCCGCCATATTGGCGGCGCACGTTCCGGTACAGGGCAGACCAGTAGGTCAAGATACACTGGTTTGTCGACTACTGCGGGGTGCCGAATTGTCGAGATCCCTGCACCCAAATATTCATGCCTCTGGCAGGTGGATGTGGTGCTGAGATTCCTTAGGGAATGGCCGGACAATCCTTGTTTGTCACTGAAGCAACTTTCAGCCAAACTAGCCCTCTTATTATGCCTCGCCTCATTTAGACGGTGGCGGACGTTAGGGCTTGCGATATGGATGGTTTCTCTCTCACACCAGATGGGGTTACCTTTACCATGTCGAGACGAACTAAGTCTGATTCGTCTTCAGTGTCATACCCATGCTTTGTGTCAGACGCCACACTATGCGTGGTCAGAACGCTAATGGGGTACACCAATATCTCTACCCCCTTCGAACTCATTCGACGGATCACCTTCTGACTTCTTACGTGAACCCTCATGGACCGGTGTCTACCGCAACACTGGCCAGATGGGTCCGCTGGTTTTTGTCTTTAGCGTCGAACCTTGTTTCGGAGCCCACTCGGTCAGGGGAGCAGCGGCCTCACAAACCTTTTCGGCCGACGCTTCCCTAGCCGACATTATACGCTGCGCGGACTGAGCGCGAGAGAGTACGTTTAGAACGTTCTATTTTCGGCAAACATCTCATGCTTCCTTCACATTGGTCAATTCAAAGCTTTAAAAATGCAAATATGAAGCCTCCTGTCATGTGGTAAAATTGAAGATTATATTAGCTTTAGTGTACTAATAATCTTAATTTTAGTAATGACAGGAGGCGAATATTTCCCACCCTATAGGATCCCTCCCATGTTTCTCGTGTTGAACAGAATATGTCCTTTATGTTCAGGAAGGTAAGTACGTATGGTTTGTATGTTTGCTACTTAGACCTGTATCTTGTGGGTCTTGTATTGGCTGAATATTAGACATGAACCTTGCATTATGTTGTGTTTATAGATTCTTAAATATCATTGCGTTGGAATAAATATATATTAATATGTTTCACATTCTAATGTTCGTTGGTATATCAGATGCTTAATGCTTATTGTATGCGGACAAGTTATCACGCCAGATACCTTTCACCTTTTTCTTTTTCTTGCAGCGTGAACGTCTTCTCATCGAGACAAAGATTCACCTTCCATACCTCTGCATCGCGGAACTAATGGAGTTGGATATTCTAATATGTTGTTGAACTGTTGACGTAATATGATTATGTCTCTTGTTGTTATTTATTGTTTCGCTTCAAAGAAAGAGGAAGTGATGTCATAGACAGGGCCTTTTATGGGCATCATAACTTTTTTCTGATTGGTTGTTATGTTTCTATGCTGCTGGAGTTTTCAGTAAAGAAAGATATGCAAATATTCGCCTCCTGTCATTACTAAAATTAAGATTATTAGTACACTAAAGCTAATATAATCTTCAATTGTTTAACTTCTGCTGCAACCAGATGTGTTTAAGACAAAATTTGAAAAGAAAACCAAAGCATACTTGGCAGGGATTACACGTTTAGATTTTGAGCCAGATAGGGATAGATTGCCAAGATAGATCAATGTCCTTTTGCAGAAAAAGTGGTCATCAGAATTTGTGTATTGTGCAGACCTTTCCTTATATATTAGCAAGGGATAGTTCTTTGTTAATCTGAATTGTACGCATGCAGTGTTTTATTACTTTGTCTATAAGATCCACATGCATCTAGAAGGAAATAGTACCCTATACATGTTTTGATGTCTAAACTTTTATACATTGTTTGAGGTTTAAATAAAAAGATTTTAAAGAGTTTAAGGAATGTTTGTTACACTTCATAGACGAGTGCCTCTTGACTACATTGACAGTAGTCAGAACAGGATATACCTAAAAACAAAATGGAGAAAAATCATAGGATAATGTAGTTTAGATTAAAAACAAAACAAGAATTAAAGGTTGCACTCACAGAGTAACAGAAAAATTCAGGCTCATCAATAGTATACAGGTTCCACCAGATTCAGTATTATTCAATTATCCAAAAAGTTCATGTGAAAAGAATTGAAAGGAACATGATGCAACACTGATATAAAGTTAAAAAAAAAAAATAAACATGCTTTAATGGTTACACTTACAAAGTATAAGTAGGTTAAAAGCCCATTAGTGTAATCCATTGGTCCCCAAAGTCCTGGTTTTCATGATATAGGTAACAGGAGTCTTCACAGGTACCGTATGCAAACAGCAGTATATTAAAAGAAAAAAAAAATTCTAAAAAGCTCACTATACAGGAGTATTTTGAAAATTGCTGAAGTAGTGCATAAATGGTGGTGTGGAAACCGGAACTTCCTTTTAAATGTCCCTCTTTCAGAAGGCGGCTTATTTTTGACCAATCTCTTAAATTTCTTAATGTGTTTGAACTCTCAAATGGCCGCAATCTGTATATGGAGTTCGGTAGACAACCCCGGAGCGCGAAAGCGTTCCGCCTACACGGAAGTTGCAGATGTCTTTCGGCCATGGATGATTAGGTGGGTGCGCCTGGAACGCAAATGCGTTGCAATCAGTCACTCTCCACGTATTAGTGAGTTAGCACGGAAAGTCCTCAGCCACATATTCCATATCGCATAAAAGGCGAAAAAATTAAAGGCAAGTATTTTTTACAAACTAGTGACTAAGCAGGGAACTTTGAAGACAATATATATATATATATATATATATATATATATATATCTATCTAAAATGTCAGAGTATGTATTTGCCAGAGTATGTATTTTTAAAAAGTTAATTTATAATCCACTGCAAGTAGATCAGACCTAAAAAGGGGAATCTGAAGACACCAAATGTATAAATGAATAGAAACATAGAATGTGACGACAGATAAGAACCATTCGGCCCATCTAGTCTGCCCAATTTTCTAAATACTTTCATTAGTCCCTAGCCTTATCTTATAGTTAGGATAGCCTTATGCCTATCCCACGCATGCTTAAACTCCTTTACTGTGTTAACCTCTACCACTTCAGCTGGAAGGCTATTCCATGCATCCACTACCCTCTCAGTAAAGTAATACTTCCTGATATTATTTTTAAACCTTTGTCCCTCTAATTTAAGACTATGTCCTCTTGTTGTGGTAGTTTTTCTTCTTTTAAATATAGTCTCCTCCTTTACTGTGTTGATTCCCTTTATATATTTAAATGTTTCTATCATATCCCCCCTGTCTCGTCTTTCCTCCAAGCTATACATGTTAAGATCCTTTAACCTTTCCTGGTAAGTTTTATCCCGCAATCCATGAACCAGTTTAGTAGCCCTTCTCTGAACCCTCTCTAAGGTATCAATATCCTTCTGAAGATACGGTCTCCAGTACTGTGTACAATACTCCAAGTGAGGTCTCACCAGTGTTCTGTACAATGGCATGAGCACTTCCCTCTTTCTACTGCTAATACCTCTCCCTATACAACCAAGCATTCTGCTAGCATTTCCTGCTGCTCTGTTACATTGTCTGCCTACCTTTAAGTCATCAGAAATAATCACCCCTAAATCCCTTTCCTCATATGTTGAGGTTAGGACTCTATCAAATATTCTGTACTCTGCCCTTGGGTTTTTACGTCCAAGATGCATTATCTTGCACTTATCCACATTAAATGTCAGTTGCCACAATTCTGACCATTTTTCTAGTTTACCTAAATCATTTGTCATTTGGCTTATCCCTCCTGGAACATCAACCCTGTTACATATCTTAGTATCATCAGCAAAAAGACATACCTTACCATCAAGACCTTCTGCAATATCACTAATAAAAATATTAAAGAGAATGGGTCCAAGTACAGATCCCTGAGGTACCCCACTGGTGACAAGTCCAACCTTCGAATATATTCCATTAACTACAACCCTCTGTTGCCTGTCACTCAGCCACTGCCTTACCCATTCAACAATATTTGAATCCAAACTTAAAGATTGCAGTTTATTGATAAGCCTTCTATGTGCAACAGTGTCAAAAGCCTTACTGAAATCTAGGTAAGCAATGTCTACTGCACCACCCTGATCTATAATTTTAGTTACCCAATCAAAAAAATCAATAAGATTAGTTTGGCATGATCTCCCTGAAGTAAACCCATGTTGTCTCTGATCTTGAAATCCATGTGTTTTTAGATGTTCATCAATCCTATCCTTTAACATGGTTTCCATCACTTTCCCACTACTGAAGTAAGGCTTACTGGCCTATAGTTGCCCGACTCCTCCCTATTACCTTTCTTGTAAATGGGCACAACATTCGCTAACTTCCAATCTTCTGGGACTACTCCTGTTAACAATGATTGGTTAAATAAATCTGTTAATGGTTTTGCTAGTACACCACTAAGCTCTTTTAATAGCTTTGGGTGTATTCCATCATGTCCCATTGACTTGTCTTTACTTTTGACAGTTGAAATAGAACCTCTTCCTCTGTAAACTCACGTGTAATAAATGACTCATTTATCCTTTTTCTCAACTGAGGTCCCTTTCCTTCATTTTCTTCTGTAAATACAGAACAAAATATTCATTGAGGCAGTCAGCCTGACCTTTATCCTCTTCTACATACCTTCCTTCTTTTGTTTTTAATCTAACTAATCCTTGTTTTACTTTTCTTTTCTCATTTATGTATCTAAAAAATGTTTTATCCCCCTTTTTTACTGACTGTGCTATTTTCTCTTCTGTGTGTGATTTGGAAGCTCTTATAACTTGCTTAGCCTCTTTCTGCCTAATCTTATAGATCATTTTGTCTCCCTCACTCTGGGTTTTTTTATAATTCCTAAATGCTAACTTTTTGTTTTTAACTATTTTGGCCACATCTGCGGAGTACCACAGTGGTTTCTTGAATTTTTTGCTTTTACTGACAAGCCTAATGCAATTTTCTGTTGCCTTCAATAGTGCAACTTTTAAATAATCCCATTTTTCTTGGACTCCATTTAAATTGCTCCAGTCTGATAATGACTCCTCTACCCATATTCTAATTTTAGAAAAGTCTGTTTTTCTAAAGTCTAAAACTTTTGTTTTTGTGTGGTGTGACTCAGTCACTGTTCTTATATTAAACCACACTGACTGATGATCACTGGATCCTAAACTTTCACCTACAGTAACATCTGATACCAAATCTCCATTTGTTAACACTAAATCTAGTATGGCCTCTTTACGAGTTGGCTCCTCAACAACTTCTTTTAGAGACAATCCCAGTAGGGAGTTTAGAATATGTGTGCTCCTGGCACAAGTAGCTAATTTGGTTTTCCAATTTACATCAGGAAGATTAAGGTCACCCATGATGATAACTTCCCCCTTCATTGTCATTTTAGCTATTTCCTCAACTAGTAGATTATCTAACTCTTCAATTTGTCCTGGGGGCCTATAAATCACACCTACACGAGTTACTGTGTGATTACCAAATTCTAACGTAGCCCAAACGGACTCTGTTTGCCTCACTAACTTTTATTAGGCTAGATATTATGCTATCCTTCACATACAAGGCCACCCCTCCCCTTTCTTGCCTATCTTTCCTATATAAAAAAAAAAAAAAAAGAGTACCCTGGTATTGCTATGTCCCAGTCATTTTTCTCATTGTACCATGTCTCAGTAACAGCGACTAAATCTACACTATCAGTTGCCATTATTGCCACAAGTTCATGGATCTTATTCCCTAAACTGCGAGCATTTGTAGACATGACTCTAAGCTTATCATTTTTTTTTTTAACACTTGCTACAGGCACCTTCTGTCCTTTTGTATGTAAAAGTAAAATTTAAAAAGGAAGAAAAAAAAACCATTTACCCAAATATGTACTCTCTAGGACAAAATATAACAAGTGTACTCAAAATATACATATAATGGATCAGACACTGGAGAGGGAATCTGGAGACAGACCTAATTGAAAAAAAATATATAAAAAAAATAAACTACTAGGAATTTAAAAAAAAAAAAATGGCTGAAGTGTTCCAACTCTGTATATCCAAATTCTATCTCATGGCCTTAATTTCAACATGTTCCCACCACTCACATCCAAAGTGACCTGTTCAATCATCCAGGAAAAGTTCTCCACTTAAAGGAGAGACAGACATTGCAATATACAGGAATGGAATGGTTCTGAATCCCCTATTATTGAGGTGCTCCATGAAACTGGTTTTAGCCTTTGACAGTCCATTTTGACTTTGAACCTGGTGCGTGGTGGTTTTGGCAGTTCGACTTAGAGAAGTTAAGTAGGCTTACAATAAAGGAACATTCCAAGAACCATAATCACTGCTGCAGTTCCAGAACTACCCTGGCAAGCTCTATGCAAGTAGGCTGGTACATTGGGCACCACTCACTGGACTGGAGTGAGCAGCAGTTAATTCCAATCCATTTAGTTGGCCCTGCAAGGTTAGACTCAGAAGAGTTCGACAGTTCAGACAAAGCACTTCAGCTTGTGTAAGTGCTGCCTCTTCCCCTCCCATTTTACAAAACGTGGAGATTTTAATAGGGAATGTAACTAGTTTAATTTATAAAAGTGCAAATTTCTGTCAACCGTACCACATGTTCTGTTAGTTTCATTAGCTCTCAGCTAAATTCAAGAGGCAAAAATTGTTTAGAACACAGTGGGCTGCATTCGGAAGTCTTATCGGACAGACAGTCTGAACTAGATTAGAATGGGGCTTGCAAATGCTTCAGACAAGAGAGATTCACTGCTTTTGTAAACAGCTTTTAGCTATAATCCCAGTGAAAAATGTATAATATAGGTTTGATTTCATTGGGTTATATCTGCTAGTTTTTGGGGGGCAGCGGAGATTGTATAGATAATTTACCCAGTGCATTCCTGTAGTATGTAGGTTTTAACCCCTTAAGGACCAAACTTCTGGAATAAAAGGGAATCAAGACATGTCACATGTCATGTGTCCTTAAGGGGTTAAAGGAACACTAGCAATTAAAAATACATACATTTGTATTTAACGCTATAGTGTTCTCTTAATTTGGATTAAGCCCACAAAATCTCAGCTAGAATAAAGGGCATTAACCTTTTCCCTCAGCAACAAGATCCAGCCTAAACAGCCACTCAAACCACCTCTGTTAAGTCACCCTTCTCTTAAAGGACCACTCTAGGCAGCCAGACCACTTCAGCTTAATGAAGTGGTCTGGGTGCCAGCCGCTAGGGGCGCTTGCGTGATTCTCACTGTGAAAATCACAGTGAGAGCATGCAAGCGTCCATAGGAAAGCATTGATAATGCTTTACTATAAGACCAGCTGAGTGCGCGCGCAGCTCTTGCCGTGCGTGCGCATTCAGCCGACGGGGAGGAACGGAGGAGGATCGGAGGCAGAGCTCCCCACCCAGAGCTGGAAAAAGGTAAGTTTACCCCTTTTCCCCTTTCCAGAGCCGGACGGAGGGTCCCTGAGGGTGGGGGCACACTAAGGGCACTATAGTGCCAGGAAAACAGGAAACGTGTGTTTTCCTGGCACTATAGTGGTCCTTTAAGCGAAGCATTGGGTATGAAAAGCAAAGTGTAGTCCAAATGAAATTTAGGCAAGCTGTGATAGAAGTGCTTCTGCTATGAGAACAGTCAGACTGCTGTCAGGACAGCCACTAAGGGTGTATTTAACCCGTATTCATAACTTGAATCTACTGAACAGTAATGTTTTAGAATGTAGGGTTAAAACGAAGGACCACTGCAGCAAGACCACTTCATTGAGATCAAGTGATCCTTTAAGTATGACCTTGGGCCAAAGGCAGGTGCCAAGTAGAATTCTTTGAGTTTGGCAGCTGATTTGTGAACCAACTACATTTTTTTAATGCAAAGGAATTCATTCAACTTTAAAACAAAGCAAAGATGCCAGTGAAGAGGTGAAATAGAAACAGGTTTCAGGAGACATCATACAGAGCAGAAGTGAAACCATGTGTGTCAGCAAACTGGATTCTATTTTATGAAAAAAACTGTATACACCTTTAACCTGGATGGAGTACAATGTAATATAGCTCATGTGGGATACAAACTTTTCCATTTGGTGTTTCTTGCATAAATTGTGTGCTGGCAATGAATATAAACACAGTTATGATCAGTTCGATATAAAGTCAAGTATACTGAATAAGACGCAGGACAATTAAAAGCAGTAAAGAAAAATTACCCTTTTTTTATTGGTGCATTTCAATTGCTCTACATTTTGCAATATGATGTAGAAAATACATAAAATACAAGCTACTTTGTAAAACCAAAGACAAACATTGAATCCAAAGATAAACTATGTTTTCACAATGGACCCATTTCCCCGTATAGTTAGTAATAAAATTTAAATATTTTTTGTTTTCTTAAAACAGATTTTACATAATCCCCCCCGAAAAACACCAGCAATACAAACAGATCAATTCCCAGGTACTACTTGCTTATAGCAGCGTGGAAACTAAAAGCAAGTAGAAGGAGGTTAGGGAGGGGAAGCACAACCAGATAAAAATGGGAATTGTTAAGTTTCACACAGCAACTAGCAGATCAAATACATTTTTAATAAAAATAAAATAGCAATATCAATGATCCAAAGTTAAAAACAAGAAACACTAAGATTACATATAAAATGCATTGCTACATGTAGTGATATAGACAAAGCAAATAAAAATTGGGAATGAAGTTGTATAAGGAACAATGTATACATGCAATATATTGGAGCATTTTTTGCAGCAGAATTATTGGAATCTAGCCAGTGTGGTGTTAAATACCACCACCAGAAGTCTAACTCTTGAAAAAGCTTGGTCCTACAAGAAATTAGTCATAAGGGCTAGAATTCCCAAAATCCATGCAAGGTGCCCCAGTCTCAAATGACACAACTACATAAAGGATGCAGGATTCTTTAAGGACCAAGTGAAGTACTACTACAAAAGTCACAAATCTGATTAAATGATTGTTAGTTATCCTGTCTATTGACATTAACAGCATAAACAAATGTTTAATATAGGAGTATAACCATTGAGAAGTATTGCTTAGAACACTGATTTAATATAGATTAACAGAAGTTGAAGAGAAGTCTAGAACAGCATACATTTTAACAAATACAATGATACTACTATATAAAATTCCACAGTGCCTTACCATTAGCAATGTTTGTTAGAATTATATTCCATAATAAAAAACCTTAAAGGAAAATACAGTGAATATGAGAGAATACACGTTCCATAAATACCACCACGAAATGAAAAAACAAAAAAAACCACTGTTGTATCAATTTTTCATACAAGTTTATTGCTATCTCGCTCTCCAATTTCAAGCTACGTAGAGCTCATTAGTCAATTAAATTAATATTAGAGCTCATGTATCCAAAATCCCAATTATGCATACAAACTACTCTGAAATCATTTCAATAAGATCTTTTCTGATAAAAACAACTAGGGAGATTTAGCCCACGAAAAAGTTTGAGCCCCATGTACACAGTGTTTCCTAGGCCATAATTTTGAGTAATAATCATAAAAAAAACTTGGGACCTAACCGAGCGTAGTACAGCAGTGGAACAGCCCACATTACATTCAATCATTTTGCCATCACTTAACTTTCTACAAAAATAAAGCAACATATAAATTACAGGCTTAAACAGACAGGAGATTAAAAATGACAAAGGTAATACGAACGACTTTAAAGATATGAACGTATACAAAACACCTTCAGTATCTTAGTAACTTAAGTGCTTCACAATGGAATACAAATGAAAATGTTGATGCTTTACACATTTTTTTGGTTGCCTTTAAACAAGAGACCAATAGAGTAAGATATTGGCTTTGACAGTCCCACGGGTAGTTAGTGAAAATAATTGGGAGGGAGCAAGGGGTGGGAGACTTACAACATATTTTAACTTGGTGACTATCCAGTACATACTTTGCAGTGGTGGACAGCAATATAAAAAGCCGCTCTATGGAAAAAGGGAAGAGGGAGGGGTAACAAAAAACAAAACAAAAATACCAAAAAACACCTACTACACTTTTCTAATTTACAATATACGCAGTGAATTTTTTTTATAATACCATAACTAGCTCAGAAATGAGATTACATGCATCATAATGAACAGCAGTGATTGGTATCCTGACATGGATCCATTGTGCAGCCAAGCACAACACAATTACTATGCTAAAGCTTTCTTTGGTATAAACATTCTATAACTAATTCTCACAAGGAATGTCAAAGTTCCAACAAGCCAAGAAAAAAAAAAAAAAAAAGTAAGTTATAAAGGGGATTGCACATACAAATCAAACTTATCACTACAAAATAAAACACCAAAAAGCTAAAACCATATTTGAAAATGTATTTGTAAAAACACATACATCTCACGTGTCTGGATAAGATAGAGATTGCTTTTTTTTTTTAATTTTCACTTTTTTTATTTAACAAATCCATCAAGACTATTTAGAAAAAATGGCAACTCGATATCATTAAACCCAAAAGTATGGTTATTTTTAGCCTTATTTTCCTCTTGCTCCTAGGCTTAGAGAATTGCTTCTATTTAAAGGCGCTTGCCTACCCTATTACAAGGCAAGCATACTGTAAACTATAATCACTACGTTGGCATTTAAGGCACTACATTAAAGAGGACATATGAAACAACCACCATACATACCTGTGCAAAACAAATTTCCATTTACTCCCATTTACATGCGAGTATATTTCAGACTTTTATATATAGTTCAGTGCTACAGTGATAACTTCTAAAGACTTGACATACATACCCACAGATCATTTTGGTTTACAAATAGATGAAAAAAATTATATACATAAACAAGAGACCCAACTGCCTTCTCCCCCTCCCCTCAAAAAAAAAAAAAAAAAAGTGAATACACTAACTGCTAAACCCATTACGCACCTAAACAAGGAGGAACGAGAGTATAATAAAAGTATTGAGATGTTCAAGTATTCTCACCAATGCTAGATTAAAAATGCACATTGCAAATAAACTACTTTAGTGGAATTTTGGATGGCCCCAAGCATGTTGCTTTAGAGAGTTATTTTTGCCAATCCAGTGTTAGATTTTTTTTAAAATCAAAAACACTCCTTGCATAAGACCATATATGATGACCTATATTATCCATCAATAACCTAATTTCAGTAGGGATGATGCAGGAAAAGAATGAAGGACACCCTTACAAAAAGGTCAAGTGTTTGACCTTTTAACTATACTGAGACCTCAAGGAACTTTTACGCATACTTAAATTAAAGAAGCGGTTGTGGTTGTACACACTAGAGGCATGCTTTTAACAGACCTAAGTTTATTTCATGTATGTCTCAAAAATACAGCTTGTGTATTGGGGTACAAGTTTAAAGTATAAAAAAAAAACTAAAGTAGTATTAAAATTGACCATAAACCCATCACAAATGCTCTGAGGCTATCATTAGCCATAGCATAATCAAATATGCTCTCTAGCAGTAAATTTGTGCTATGCTTATTGTGTAGTTACTGGTTTTCTACTGTAAAAAGAAGGTATTCACAAATATGGTGGCAAGTAGGACAAAACCCATCATCTTTGCTTCTAATTAAGGGAAATCTATTTTAGCTCTTTAAATATAAATCATAATCCAATAGTGGTACACACTACACAGCCAAAGAAGGTCAGAAGGTTTAGAACACAATATCAGATGTTGTGTAGCTATAACTGAGAATTTTTACCCGGGACACAAAAATAAAATAGATGGTTGATTTAGGAGGGTTTGCAAAATGTTCGCACAAGATCTACAGTTTTTGCAAGCTGTGTTTAGATACAACCTCAATGAAAACCTGCATGCATATAATTATACATCTCTACCCCCCCATTGGCGGTATATCTACTAAACAGATTTTAATTTTTGTATTTTACTCTATTCATGATTCTAAAGCAATATACCACATAAATTTTTATAAAGGTAGTGTTTAATGGGATATTTATAGGTCTTCCAATGAAATGGTGTGGGCTAGGATTTGCAATGATATTTATCTCTGATTAGATCTGTATTTTCTAATGCGTTCTTGTCTACAATAGCTCCACTTACAGATTATTATTTTTAATATTTCACTTTTAAGGTACCTCAAAAGAAAGGAACAGTTTGGAAGCACTAGGTTCAGCTTGTAAAAAAAAAAAAAAAAAAAAAAAAAAAAAAAAAAAAAAAAAAAAAAACTTCATATGACTAACATGGGCTTTCTGAAAGATTTTGGGTTGTGTAAATTAAATTGATCTGAGAAGGAAATATTTCTAATCTTTACTTCTATTTACTTTTTCTAGAGTATTACAAAAGGATTATTCACATTCAAACTGCTCTCATTAACCAAACCAAGAATTTAAATTGGGTCTACTTTCTGTTCAACATGGACCTGGAATTTCAAATTTTACCTTTGGTTTTTAAAATTATCTGATAAAATTTAATAAAAGGTGTAAAAATAAAAATCTAGCAACTGAGATTTGCCTGCCTTGCTGGTATATGCCATTCATTTATACAAGTTGACACAGGCAGCTATAGGGATGATAAAGACTTGTCTATAGTCTATTCTAACATACCTTCAAGCAAGAATCCATTTGCAGTACTTTTTCATTTTAGCATCATTTTTGGCCCCTAGACCCTGCCATTTCCCCCCTAGTCTAAATTATGTTTACATTTCTAATTGGGCTTCCAATGAGATTGGTTAGGAGCAGCACCAAGTACAAGCTTTTATTGATCAGTAAAAAGTCAGTCTTGCTTTAGGAGGAATGGTCTCATGTTTTTAGGATGCCTATCAAACTGAAAACCATTCTAATCAACTGACCTCTGCCAAAAGGAAGAGAAAAAAAATAAAAAGTGGAGTCTTATGGGAACTAGTTTGGGGAATTTGTATATCCCATGATTCCAAACTCAGAAGAATGACTATTTTTAGTGAACTTTTGTCCCACACAATTTGATTTAAAACATCAAAATTGCTCAATCTTAAAAGGGAGGACTTCTTTTGTAACACTAATTAAAGAAGAAGTCACTAGGGTGTCCTTCCACAGCTAGTAATAGCACTGCATGGTGCAGTCATTTTGAGTCTATCCAATTTGATTAAGCAGCTCTTACATTTTAACCGGGGATGCTAGACGGCTGAGGAACTATGGAGTCTGTTCACTAAGTGTCTTGTTAAGTTAGTCAAACATCTCTATTTACAGGAGTCAGGAAGTCATAGGGGATGGTTTACCAATATGCCATGTTTTGCAAAGTAGTGTAATCACCAATGTAAAGAACCTGCATAACAGTGGTTTCCAGGAGGATTGCTACTTTCATAAAGCTCCCCTTAATCCTCAAAGGAAGACATTTTCACCTGATCCATAGCTAGCAAATGGACTTCTATGATCAGGTGATAACTTGTTCCCTTCGGATAGCTTTCTAGTATTCCTAAAATCAGTCTAATACTTTGCCCTCAAATTCTCAGCTGTAGATTTAATTCACATGGTATACCAATTTTAGTGCATAAAACACCAGAGTCTCATCCATCTAGCACATGTAATAATGAATCTCATGGATGCACACAGGCAAGTGATAGGGGAAGGGGAGAATATGTATTAAAAAACCCACACTTTTCTAAAAACCATACTAAGATTTTTAAAATAAAAAAAGGTTAAAAATGATTTAAAATCATAAGCTAATCAGTTTGCCACACAAATCTAGAATACTACTATGCAACTGATCAAGAAAAAAATAAAGATTAAAAATCAAACTTTGCACAACACAAAATAAAAATTGCAGCAAAGACAATGGACATGATTATGGTAGTCCACATATACTCATTTCAAAAGAGAACCCCCAACTCTAGTAATGTAAAGGGATGCTACAAATATGCAATACACAAAAATTACAATGTTAACACTGAACAAGCTTACGTGACTACAACAATGCAGTCAATAAAGAAGCAAGCCCCTTTTCCTTCTTGTGAATCTTACATAACAGTCATCTTCTAAAAACGCTTGTACATCATACATTACAAGTAGGAGTACTGGTTAATGTTGGTTGGACTTAAGGGGTATCCAGTGTAGATTGCAGAGCCCCTGGAGGCACCAATGTATGACTGGCCTGCAAACTGGTGTGGGTATTGAGCTGGAGCAACATTAGCTGAGGTAAGCAGGCTGGGTCCAACGCTGACAGGGACCTGGTGCACCAGAGTACTGGGATGGGTAGCATATGCGGAGTGTCTTGAGCCCTGAGGTGAGAACAGATGAGCAATGGATGCAGTAGATCCCAGGGTCGTGGCAGTTGTTGGGGCATATGTGTACATGTGAGGCTGGCTTGCTAGGTGACTAGTGGCAGTCGCGGCAAGGTGGGGGTGCACAGTGGAATGTAGGGGGCTGCTGTGCTGGAACGTAAAGGGTGCCTGAGAGATTGATGGTAGTGGAGCAACATAAGCCTGTTGCCTGCGAGGAGCCGGGTTCATGCTTCTCTCCTGGGATGCCATTACGGCTGACTGCTGGTTCTGGAAGTAGTAAAAAAAGTACAAAGTTGAAAATAAAATAAAAGCCATTTAGGGCAGAACAAAACTATTAGAGATTTGGCGGGACCACCCATTGCCTTCAAAGCAGCACAAGTTTTTACGTACACTTGCCGAAAGACATGGATTTTGTTGGCATTTAGTCAGATGCACAATTAAAACACTTTTACCAAACAAGTGCTAATGAGTAATTTAATAGGTAGGTTGAAAAATTGAACTGTGCACAAATACCTTTCACTGGTATTTATCAAACCAAATGCCTGTTAATCTATGGATGAACAAAACGATTTTAAGAAAATCCTGAACGAACAGGTTTGTCCATCGATCAGTGGGCATTTGATTCATTCAATGCAGCTGATAAGTTTATGCACCAGTCTAGCTAAATTAAATGCTTAAGTGAAAAACAGCTGTTTAGGAAACAAAACTGGGTGAGGAATAGTCAGTCAACAAGGCAAGGTTGCTTAAAACTGTTTGTCAAAAGTCATACACCATGACAAGACTTTGCACAAGACACAAGGTAGTTATACTTCATCACAAGGTCTCCTCCACCCCTCTCCCAGTTATAAAGGTCAAGGCAGACAGGTTTGAAGAAATGGGCAGAGTTGGGGACTAAACTCAGTGGTTGGCCAAGAAAGCTTGCAGCAGATTACCACCACATTGGGCCAACAATACTTCACAACCAGAAGATATCTAGCAGGACCATCAACTCAGAATATACAGAAAACCAGTGACCAGCCGGCCAGTCAGCATCTCCTTATAGATTCTATGAAACCATGCATCTGCATGGAGACATTGAACTTTCCCCATAGAGAGCGTGGAGACGCTGCAACTCTGGTGGCTAAGTGACTGCCACTAGAGCTATCCCTAGGGAGTAATGTAAACACTGACCTTTCTTTGAAAAGGCAGTGTTTACATAAAAATGCACGCTAGTTCTAGTGACTAACTCTGCATGTAGTTTTTGTACAATGTAGTTACTGTTTTCATGCGTAGAGATACTATACAAAAACACAGTTGCGGGGTTTGGTTTGTGTACATATAAGAATTTGTGCGGTTTTAAAGGCAAAGGGTAGTCATACAAAATGGTCATTGGATTTAAAGATTTATGTTCACCAAGTTTGGAAAGTTTAATAAAATATTAAAGTTCAGTTTTGAGAGTGCTCTTACAGTACAGTTCCCCTCCAGACCAAAAAAAAAAAAAACACCAAACACTTTTGCACAGCAATATTGCAACATACATCACTAAATCTCCTTAAAAACAATTGTCCAACAGTGATGGCTAAACTTGCCACCATAAATTGTTTCTGGACTAAAAGCTAGCTGAGCATCATGGGAAATGTAGTTTAGAAACATTTTGCGTGGCAAGGTTAGCCATCACTGGTCTATAAGAAGCATTTGATTAGACAGAGCCTAGCACCAACGAGGAAATAAGTGCAAGGTAGAAATGAAACACTTAACATTAAAGACAGATGTACTTTTTTGGACGCGAAGTGTCCAAGGGCACAGTACTAAATGACATAGCGGTGAAAAACCCGTTTCACCTACTAAAAATAGTTCAAAAAAAAAAAAAAAAAAAAAGATTGTAAATATTTATACTGACCACATGCAACAACATAAGTCAGGGCACACTTACCTGGCTGAGGTTGAGAGGCTGCACGCCGTTTACCCCACGGTGGGAATGGTAGCCAGTTTGGGAAATACAGCTACTTGATTGTCCATTTGATGAAGTGGATGCTTTTAACTTGCCAATACCTGCAGTGAAGGAGGTGGGGGTATAAGTTTTACACACATGCATACAAACAGGCAAGTATAGTGCAGTTTGGGTGCTGCTTGTGCTTGTTACAATTTCATTTACACAGGCGGAAGAGACGTGCGTCTATCAAGTTCAGCCTCTTTTTGCTGTTGATCTGATTACATCAGTACTCTTGCTTCTCTGCAAGATCTATTGCCATTATTTTATTTTCACTTGTGTTGATCCGATTACACTATTGTTGGATGTAGCATTTGTCCAATACCAGTCCATGCATTTCAACGCACTGTATATACTCATTGGTCGGTTTCCACAGCAACGGCTCAGGGATGCCACTAGTAGGCTTGCTGGGCCAGAACAAGGTGTGGGAGTAGGATTCCCACATGCATGCTGTGCTGGGAGTAGGTCAACTCTGGAGTTCACACCAGGGTGGAGGGGGCAATAATTGTGTAGAATGCCCACATACACCAAAAGACAGATTTGGACTGAAAATACAGAAATTAAAGACTTCTGCATACTTCAGGTGTTTTTCTGGTACCTATAGCTCAGCCAATCTGTTTTGTAAATTTCTTGATAATTGATAGAAAAAGGAGTGCTAACACCCACAACAAATACTATAAGCAATAATGATTAAAGGACACTATAGTCAACAATACAACTAACTTAATCATGCAGTTTGGGTGTATAGATCATGCACCTGCAGTCTTACTGCTCAATTCTGCCATTTAGGAGTTAAATCACCGTTTATGCAGCCTAGTCAAACCTCCCTGCATGTGACTTACACAACCCTCCCTAAACTCTTCCTGTAAAGAGTCATCTAAGGTTTATACTTCCTTTATTGCAAATTGTGTAACCCCTGCTCTGTTAATAGCTTGCTAGACCATGCAGGAGCCTTCTATATATGTGATTAAAGTTCAGTTTAGAGAGCTGATAATACAAAATTGTAATGCAAGTTATGGATTAAAAATTAAACTTTATATAGACTGAGTCACAGCCATGGGGGTGTGACCAGGGCTGCATTAAGGGACCACTATAGGCACTTAGACCACTTCAGCTTAATGAAGTGGTCTGGGTGCCGGTCCAGCTAGGATTAACCCTTCTATAAACAGCAGTTTCAGAGAAACTGCTATGTTTATAATAGGGTTAATCCAGCCTCTAGTGGCTGTCTCATTGACAGCTGCTAGAGGCGTTTCTCACCGATTTTCACAGTGAGAAGACGCCAGCATCCATAGGAAAGCATCGAGAATGCTTTCCTATGGACTGGCTGAATGCACGCGCGGCTCATTCAGCCGATGACGACAAGGAGGAGAGTCCCCAGCCTGGCGCTGGTAAAATAGGTAAATTTAAGCCCTTCCACCCCTTAGAGCCCGGCGGGAGGGGGGCCCTGAGGGTGAGGGCACCCTCAGGGCAGTATAGTGGTAGAAAAAAAAAAAAATGTATGTTTTCCTGGCACTATAGTGGTCCTTTAACAGAAACCAGAGTGATTTTCCTCCTAAATGGCAGTGAATTGATCACTCCGACTTTAGAAGCATCAGATCTATACATCAAAACTTTGAAGATACAAGCAAAAATCTTAATGCTGGTTATGCAAAAGCGCAAGAGGAGAGAATGTGTGGGGGCAGAATCATATGAAGTCAATGAAAAGGAACTTTTAAACCTTACACTCCCCCACCTACAATTGCCTTACTGAAAGGGCACCTGAGACATGTAGGTATGAGCCTATGAAAAATTGCAGGCCTGTATGTATCTAATGTTAAACATTGAATATTTCGGTAAACAGAAAGTAGGGCTCTTTGGAAAGGCCTTGAAGAGCTCTTTCAGATTAATTTTTTTTCATATATTATGAAAAAAAATTTAAGATATTGGGAGTCTTCTCAAAAATGGGCCTTAACTTTTTAATTTGGAAATTTCAGTGTCTTGAAGAGCTTTCAAATAGGTGCTGAATGTTTAAAACAAAATGGTGGTGGACTTGGTAGGAATGTGAAACCAACAACAAAGTTGCATGTCTTGCAAACCTGTGCCTGCACTGGTTCTCCTAGTGTCCCTTAAAGTTAAAACCTGCTCTTGGCTCAGAACAGCAAAAAGGGAAAGCCTCAACAGAACAATATATCTGGCTGTTGGCTACAATGTTGAAAGGCAAGTTAGAGCATTTACCAGAAGGGATGCAGTGCTCAATGTCTAAGCCCCAGTAATAGATTAAACATTTTAATTAGCTAACGTGAAAATTGGAAGTAAGTTTCGCAGCAGCTGAACTGTAAAGCATAGGTTAGACTAGAGCAGGCATAGGCAACCTTCGGCACTCCAGATGTTTTGCCAGCATTATGGGTGTAAGATTATGGGGTGATCATTATCTGGAGTGCCAAAGGTTGCCTATCCCTGGACTAGAGAATAGTTTACAGTTTGGCCATTTTGACCTTGAAGTGGTGTTTTTTTTAATGAACCAAAATGCATTTAAAGCTGTGAGAAACTCACATCCATGCTGCACTAGTTGTAAAATAGATTTAATAATTCAAGCTTACCTGGCAGCTGGATGTCCACACTACAATCATTGACCTGGGTCTTTAATGGTGGCACAATAATTGTGCGGGAACTGGAGCTCTGGACTACACGGCTACTGGGAAGATCAAATATTCCAGACACTCCATTAAGGGTTGAAAGCTGGTCAGTCATGTAAGGACTACTCACAGAGCAGTCAGAATCAGGAGAATCATTTACAGTCACATAGCTGATTACGTTGGATCTCAACTTTGCACTGGAGCTATAAAGAAATTGAAGAGGCCATGAAAACATTTTATATAAAATCGTTATCAATACAAAAACCCAATGCAGATCTTTTTCCAGAGCAGGTATCAGTAAAGTACTGAATATCAGCTATAATAAATCAGCAGCACTGATAATCTGTCTATCCCGAATTCTCATTATAAAAGAGTATAAGGAAAATGGACCTAATTCGAATAAAGCAGAAATCACTTGTCTGCTTCCTGGATTGGAAAGGACATAATGTCCCACTAAGGGACTGTGATGTGTATAAGGGAGCCTATATAGGGGGTAACCCTTAGATATATTACAAAGACAAAAATAGGCCAGTCCACGGTAACGTGGATACAGGTAAGGTCCCTTATGATCTGAAAGAGTAGAGAATAAAAATGAAAAAATAAATAAGTTTGTTCAATTCTCTAAAAAACCAGGGGGAACCAACAGACACCAACGAGAGCTCTAAGTGGGTGTGAGCTCTATAATAGAAATCAATAAGGAGAAAGATATAAAGATCAGTGGAATGTTGTACAGGGATAATGTACACTGTAGGAAAGGATATCATGTCCTGAAAGGTATAAATACCTAAGACTACAACGTTACAGCTAAATGACGAGAGTACAGATACATATATACACACAGGGATAACCTATTATACAGTGGAGATACTGGATTGAAAACACCTTGTATATATACACGTGCCTCAAAGGGTAACAGATGTGAGGCTAATTGCTGTACACGATAAAGGATTGTTGTAGGAGAGCTGACACCTAAATAAATAAGTCATCCCTTCATAGTCCTAAAACGATACTAGAGAAAAACCCTATCAAACCTCTGTTATGAATAGATTCAGCAGAGCCTGTAGTTATGCCGTTAGTGTTGCAAAGAAAGTAAAAAACTATAGTTATAGTTTATAATTAGAGTTTGCAAAGTTTGCACAAGTATAGAAAGTTATAACCAATGCTAAATTAGACAGAGCTTCTAATATATCGCTTGTTTGAGGAGGTAGTAATAGTTGTAAGTGATCCTTTCAAATAGATTTTTTTTATAAATATCCTAAGCTGTTGTGGAGAGTATAGAAACTTGTCAGACCTGGGTTAAGTATATGCTGGAACCACTTAATAGTCACTTGATGATAATTGAATCGTCTCGAAATGCTAAAGCCTCCTAACGTACACTTGAAAACTGCTCTCTAATAGAAGGTTGCCACTAAGCGTCTCTCTACTATACAGTCCATCCCAAGATATAAAAGTCTGTAATAGAGCGATCTCCTTCCCCCACTAAACCAGCTAAACAAACACCATAACTGAACTAAGTGCTACCATAAAGTGCTAGTGAGAAAGATAGTAAACCGACTAGCGTTTCGGTGCTACTAGAGCGCCTTCGACCAGGGCATTAATGAAAAACGCTCCCGGTGGTCTGATATATGGCTAGAGACAACGGGCACGTGACTACAACGGCCAATCCGTGCCTACAGGGGCATAGACTGTTGGAGTATCTTCAGTGCACTAGAAGCACAGCCCACAATGACGCACTCATTATGTATAGTGGCCGCCCAGCTTGATACAAAGCTCCTGAAGTTTTTGTTCCTGATTCTGGAACATAGGATCATTAGGAATCTGTAACCCTTCTACAGCTAGCTTCACTTTTTCATCTACAGATTTGAGCCGTTGTGACTCAAACCTGCATATGATGTCCATGAACTTTTGAGCATGTGTCAGTCACCTCCTCTCATTCTTCCTGAACACATTTTTATTAATGAGGAAAGTTTACAGAAAAAATAAATAAAAAATGCATGTTACACTGCCACCTTACCTTGCAGGTTTATATTTACTGTCTTCTTCCTCATCCGTATCACTGCGAATTGTAATAACGCTCACCGGAGGGCTGGGGGTATCTGGGATTACAATGGGTTGCCTTTGCTCTTGCACTTGAAGGAGCTGGTTATATGAAGATGTGGCATGAAGAGGGCTGCTTCCAACCAAAGAGTATACTTGTGAAGGGAGGACATCCAAAGCAGAGAGTGTCCTACAGAAAAATTACCACAGGGCTGATTAGATTATTTCCATTAAATTCTAAAGGAAACCCATATGAACGGCATAAATAACATTCCTATTATATATAATAAAAGTGTAGTCACAGTAAGTCTACACTAAAAATGAGCACATGTACAGCCTCCTGAATGTTCTGGTGTTTTTGCCTTGGATATTAAGACATGTAAACTGTCTTATAAAGGCTGTTTACAAATTGGAAATTTGTTTTATGTGAATGTTTTAATTCTTGCAAAACACCAAAAAAAAAAAAAAAGCCAAAAGCAAAACTAAAAAAGCCTGTGCTTCAGCTTGTGATGACATTTTCACTACAGATAATGTTATAGTTTTGCAGTGCTGCCCTTGAAATTAAAAATTCCTGTTCATGCTAATGAATTATAGAAAGGTTTAACTGCATGGAGATTGGCTGTTTTAGCCAGTTTTTAGTGTAACTGAAAGATTGACCCCATCTTGTTTTCCAAATGACAAATTCTTTAGAAACAAAATGCATTTCTATTACAGCCCTTACTTGGTATTTGTCTGGGTTTGCAGCTTGTGTTTCTTTGTCAACATGCTGACATTCTGCTGTTGTCGAACAACGTGAGCAACACCCACACTCAGAGGCTGAGCGGCAGCTAAAGTCACGTGGTTTGCAAGCAACGATGGCTGCTGCATCAGTGTGCTATACTGGTTCCCATGGGAATGTGGATTTCTAGTGGGAGAAAATTTCAGTGCATACAATCAGAAACAATCACACTTTTATGGCATAATTATTAGGAAAATGAAAGCACGTTAACAGTATGTTAATTCCCAAACATTGGCATTAATAAGCACACAGAGGCCTTCTAAATATGAAGAAAATTGCATTTGGCACCGATGACCTCAACAGAAAGAAAACCTGTATCAATCAATTTGGGCGTTTCCATGCAAAACCGTGCTAGTTGTACAAACTCAGCAGATCTAAATTCCTGGACAAGTCTTGGAGCACACCACTTCATGTAGTCTCTAACCAACAATGTCAGAAATTTGAGTCCTTTAGAAATTTATTTTATAATTCTACAGGAAGCAAACCGCCCATATTACCTCCAAGACATTGCCGGAAAGTAAAAAAGTGTAATGTTTAAAAGAGTACAGTTTTCTATCGAAAAATGACCAGATTATTCCACGTAGTGACAATGTCTGAATTAAGGTATTCTACTTCCCGCAGAGAATTTGACCTTACATTGTTATGTATAGTACATGTAAACTAGTTTAACTCGGCCATATGTAGAATAAAAAAAAAAAAAGGAAGATATCTATCAAGATTTTAAGGGTTATAGCTCAATGCTTTGCCCAGTAATAGTTTACAGATTAAGAGTTTGTCGTGTTTAATCAATAGGATTTACCTCCAATCCGTAAGCTGCTGGTTGCTTCCAATAGTCTCCGGAATCACAGCAGCGGACTGAACAGAGTTGTGAAGGGCAACCCCAGGAAGCTGCTGCCAAGTCGATGGTAGCAAAACGTGCTGTGTTCCACCTGGCCATGCCTGCTGGAAGATACAAAGAAGGGAGGGAGAGATAAAAACAACCCTCTTAACTTTGTTAAGCCATAATTGTTAAAGTCCCCACAACCAGTGAACTATCAATTTGCAGAGATACATTGGCAAACATTTAAAAATTGTATTTAGAACAGCATTTAAGAGACTTCTTTTTATCAAAGGACATGGAGGTGCTGTACAGCAGAACAGGCTTGTTGGTTGTTCTAGTCCAGAATACCTTGGGTAAAGGAGTAATGAGCCACAGGCTACATATTAGCCCTGGGAGAATCTCAAAAATAAGTTTAAAATCAAACTGTAAAGAAAATATCCCCCACACACACTTATTACAATGCTACTTTTCCAGTTTGGCTAATATTGCCTAAATTGTGCAATCCAGTCAAGTCTTCACAATAGGAAATAGTCAGTAGTGATGTGTTAAAAATGCAATCCAGTCTGTTATAAAGGGCTTGCCAGTAGGCACAGCTACCAAGGTCATCAAGGTATACCTCCCTAGACCAGAAAAACTTGGATTTTAATAAGTACAATTAAGTGACATTTTATTTAGCTACAAGCTTATTAACAAGGGCTGCAGCTAGAATCTCCAAACTAATCATCTCATTAAATGATGAGATCACTGCTGCTTAATTTAGTTTTTAGTTACAAGCACGGATATGATTTGTGACTAAACGAGCACTGTAACAGAGAGCTTTATTTTAAATTTCATGGCATTCGTTGTAGTGCCACTACTGAAGTTAATATAATTACACAGCAGCTCTTAGCAACATGACCTAGAATAGAAACTCCCACGTGCTTTGTTAGGACTATGGAACATGCCCAGGAGCAGTTTATCTAGAGATCAGTCATGTGAATAGTTATGTAAAAAAACATAACAGGTTACACTATTGGCATTAGGAATGGAGATGGGAGAGAAGTTGGATTGTCAAAGACCAGTACTTATTTTGAAAGTGGAGAGCAGACTTAAGAAAATGCTTGAATTATTGCTTCATTAGACTGAAAACACTACAGACAATGCTTTTAAAGGAACAGCAAGATCTGGCAGTGATCGAAAAGTGTGGTAACATGATTGGACAGGCAGTTTGTTTCTTTACAAATCCTTTATTAGGCAACTTCCTGGGATAAAGCCAACAGTTATTTGTTTTGCGTATGAATCTGAACATTCCAACTCTGTTAGACTGGATTGCAGGAGAGGATTTGAAGACTTGTGTATTTGTATGGGTGTACATAATAGGTATTTTAGCCAGAGTATGGAAAATAATACCCTGTATCAAGCCAGATCTACTACTGCACAACTATCTTGTGGACAATACTTAAGATTTTTTTTAAAAATAATCGGTTAATCAACATTTTGCAAATAGGAATTTTGTAGTACAGCACATCCATTTTCCCATAGGTACACTAAGCCACATTGTATTTCTGCTGTTTAGACACCACTTGTGAACACTGGACCTGCCAAAAAGCTTAAAGCAGAAAAAAAAAAAGCAAACCGTGGAGGGTGATGGAAGGGAAGAATAAAGTTGAATGTTAAACACCATGCTCCTTTCCAAAAAAAGCCAACACCTGCACAAGACAAAGCATATCGTTTAATACAAAGCAAGAACGGACCCCAAAAACGTAATGCAGAGATCTGGCGCTCCAAGCGACGAACTGTTTTAACAAAAGGACAAAAAGAAAATATGCAAAGCTCAGCAAATGCAAACTTAAGCAAAGCAGAAAATGTAATCCAATGTGCTGGGAGCAGCCTTCTAAACTAAAGGTGAGCCAGTTAAATTACTTGACAGAATGTGTCTTTGACTACACAATGACAAAGCCAAGAGGAAGCACTTTAGTTGCATCTCCCTTCCGACTCATTTCTTCTGAGAAACCCTAGGGGACAGAAAACTTCAAATCGGATCACGTTCTGAATATTCGATAAAACTGTCAGAAGGGTTAAGCTACCCATTAAACCAAAGTTCAGATATCATAAAAGGGAGAGACCATACTTGTGACAACTCTGTTGCAGGACAAATAGTCAGCATCAAAGCAGTATTACAAATACAAGAGTGCCTAAATTTGTCCATTTAAAAGTTAAATCCTATGCCAATGGGAGGTGCTTTTTTTCTTCTTTTTTTTTTTTTAAATCTAATAACTCAATTTGGGGAGGATTTGAACATTAGTTACACATATTGCTCATTCATACATGTCCAGGTTGCACTCTTTTGCAATGTTGCATGGTGTATTAATCAGCAAATTGGGCATTCACAACTATTTTAAAGTGAAAATTATAATTTGTTTAGATTTAAAATGTAAAAACACCACTACTTTGAGCAATCAACCTTTAACCTCAAACTCTCATAACCTAAGCTGAGCTCACCTTTAATTTTAATTTAAAAGCAGATATTGAAGCATTTTAAAGTCTGTGGGAAAGCAAATTTAATGCTCTGACACTAAACTGACGACTTATTAATTGATGCTCAGTTATCAGTTATCAGCTAGTTCTCGAAGCTCTAATTAGAAAGCAATGATGGGATGCCTTGAGATGCTGGTAACTTAGTCCTTCAGGCAACGCATGAGTTGATGCAAATCATATCAAGCATCTAAGATGTCACCTCGGCATGCAAAAAAAACTATTTACAAAGTGTTGCTAGGTTGTAGCCCCCCCAAAAAAAAACAAAAAAAAAACAAAAACTATTTTTTACAATATCTATAAATGGAAATTCGGATAGACCAATTTAAGATTTTCATAAATTAAGTTTGGCTAAATTAAAGCAAAACCTTGTTCCTGAAGAAAGTAGTACAGATGTTTGTCAACCACATTTCCCTCAAAGCTCAATTAACAGAGTGAGAGCCTTCTACCCATCACTAATCTAAAGTTACCCCCAAACATTTGTGCAAGTTCCATCTCATACAAAGTCATGGAATGTTGAATAGTGAATGTGGCACAAAAAAAAAAAAAAACCTAGACATCCTACAACATATCCTAAAATAAATTTCAATATATGCCCATGCTACAAAACCAAAATAATTTGCCCACAACAGCCAGATGGGCATGTTTTAGACTAGGGAATGCAAACATGATTAGAGGGGATAAGTTTAGCTACCAATTTTAAGGCTCTTTTCAAAGTACACAGTATTTCACCAACCTAGTGAGAGAATGTCAATAGCCCAGTCCCCGGTGTGAACAGCAAAGCAAAAGGCCTTTTTGCCTAGAGTCACAGTTTGACTGTTTTGACTGTTTTGAAATTTAGTTTACAACACTTCAGTGTTCATGCAGGACTTAAACCCCAGCAGTTTGGGACCAATGAATGCATTAAAAGTTGATCCAATCCAATCTAAAAATATTGTTCCATGCCTTTTTCACATTGTAAAGCCTACCAATTCAATGATTCCAAATGGTGGTCTCCCAAATGTGAAAATGCTATAATTCCAATATTGTTGTGATCTTTGAGTAACAGTATAGCTTACTTTGGGACAACTGAAACCAGCTAAGTTTCTCTTGAGATGCCTGGTACTCATGTCAAATCTAGATTCTGGAATACTTACATTAGAACTCTATGGTCTTTAGTCAGATATGAGGAGTTTCTAACAAAAGAGTCAAAAGAAAGCAAGAGGAACGTAAACCAGGATATGCATAAATTATCTTATGAGAAATAAATTTCTCTGGATGGGAGAAACCCATAGGACATATGGAATAAAGTTATCAACTGGTAAGGATAGAAAATGCCCACAACACAACTCTTCAGTATTGTCATCTAGTTTATCATGTGGAATCTTCAGGTTTGCATGTATCCAGGAGGAAAAGCAGTCAGAAACAGCAAGTAGGACAGTTAAAGCACAAGCCAAGGTGCTCAAATGAAGAATGAGAACTAATAGTGTCTCACTATCTGGAGAGACCTTTGTAAGGCATGGCAAATTTTCCTTTCTTGAATGCATAAGGACGAAGTTGTGATTACCATCTAGAGCGCTTTCCTGCCAAAAGCACAATCTAGGTGTGAAGAAAATATTTTCGTTATTTTCTTTATTCGTGACTCTGATGCATTTCGTTACTTTGGGATTTATTGGTTCGGTAGATTACACTACAGGACACCGACCACCCTCCTTGCTCATTATCTTCAAAAACAGTCTATTAAGCGATCTCTGGGCCGAATGCCACGTGGAAGAGAAAATGGCGGCCATCTTGTTTGCATGAAAGGACGCAGAGGGACTTTGTCGTTGAGTGTCTGGAACTAAAATCGGACACTTACCAAACACTGTTCCTGCTTCCTTTTGTTGCCGAACAGCTAGGAGAGAGCCATTCAGTAGTTTGATTCATACGAACACTGGGAACAATCGCTCCAGTGAGCCAGGAGGCTCCATTCGTGCTTTTGTATGTTTTTATGCTAATTTCTGAATTGACCAACCGCACACCCTGAATTCGTGGAACTGTTTTGGGCAGGAGCCTCGTGTGCGGTTGGTGAACTAAGACTTCCATACTTTGAGAACCCCTGAACCGATCTGTGTGAAGTTTGAATATGTTGGTCTACCCAGATCGGGGCTATCAGGGGACATGTCATTTGTGGGAATACCTTGTGTATAAAGGGGTGTTCCAGGTTTTGGGGAAATTGTGTGCCCTCTGCCTGGAGATAATTGGGTTATTTCTTAACTTCTCAATCTCTCAGGCAGATGAAGGGAGGGTTTTACTGTAATTCTGTGTTATGATTGGTTGTTCCTTTTGTTTATTGTGGGAGGTCCTCTTGCACAAGGATTTCCATAAAAGCCAGTGTGGCATCAATAAAACATTCCTGTTGTACCCTTCATGAAGTCTAGGCTCATTCTTGGGTAACCTTTTATTTGCTGGGGAGATTAGTCTTAGAAGCTGCATTCATCTACACTATTTCTCTATACCCTAACTGCAACTATAATCACTTATGCTCAGTTATTGGGAAGTAATAGAAGAACTCAGTACCATAACCACTGATGTTCTTAACACTAGGGACATAAGAAAAATTTGAAAAATATACATAGATGACCAAGTGTCTGCTTTGCGGATTTTGCCAGTAAAAGACAAATGGCCAGAGGCCACCAACTGAGCCTAGGGCTTTCTGGATTGTCGATTTGGGACAATTGGGAAGAATGAGGGTTTAAAGCCTTCTGAATCCAACAGAGTTCAGAAAATAAACCTGTAACCTAATCCATCAGCAAGACGCTCTCACCACAGGTCAACTGCCCCCACAGCTCTCCATGGAGATCACTGGGGGTGCAGAACATCTACACATCAATCTCTGAAACCCACTTACAATGGTTCTCATAAAACCAATGCTTATCTATGAGAAGCCTTAGAAGGCTTTTCCTCACACACTTTAAAGCACCTAAAATAGCTACCAGCTGTTTGGAAGACTGCCAGTTCAGGACTGTGATCCTTATGAAAAGCCAAAAGAGGGTGCTTGCAAGAGGTGGAAACAGACGTTCAGAAAACACAGTCTGATTTGTTTAAGGAAGGAGGAGAGGAGGATACAGACTCACATTCCTTTTGTAGACATTTGGAAGACCACCTGAGGAACTTCTTGACCTCCCTCACGGAAGTAGCAGTCTTAAGACGAAATAGGCAACTGATTTTGCCCAACTTAAAGTAAAGATAAGGTGTCTAAGCTAGTTCTGGCCAAGGAAGGAGCCCAAGGTAAACTCAAGCCGAGAGCATTAAATGGAAAACTCCCCTACTAAGACAACCAAGTCCACTTTCTCCTTCGAGACAATCTGCCCCAACCAGTTGAGCTGATTTCCTCCATCAGCCAACCTCATGGGTTTCCTGAAAGACAAATGGGAAATTACCATCTGATGGAATATTAATTCTAAAATCTCTTGCAGCTACTGTTCGAACATTTAGCTTAACATCCCACTGGAGAAGAGACCCCTGACAGCAGCACAAGAGGAACCACATCCAAGTCCGTCATGAGGTTCAGAACCCGAATGCAGTCTGAAGGCATAGATCGTTCTTGAAGCAGAGAGTGACAAATTAAGCTTTTTCATCCAAACATGCAGAAGGAAAATAGTTTAAGGATGTAACATCTTCTCCAGGATTCATTTTGAGAAGAACTCCAAAACCTCTTTAGGAACTGGGGAAATTACTTTCCAAGCAAGTCACAGTTCAGACCTGAACCATGATGATAGACAGGGCAAGACAGCAAAAACCGATCCCCAGGGGGGACAATGTCCACCTTAACGCCAAGTCAGCATCCTTTATTAACCGCTTTGTTCGAGGAGTAGAACAGGAAACAAGTTTGCCAGTTTCAGTAAGATGACAAACTCAAAAGGTGTCAGAGTGGATCTTCAGCCTCCTGGCAGGAAGAACATGTCCAATATACAACAAGATGTACTCAAGGAACTCCTCCAATTTCTTATGCATAGGTCATTAAACAATGTACTTATCTGCCTTTATGGTCACGCAAGAAATGGGTCCATCTATCTTATGGACAGTGTTCATAAATAAAGGAAACATTAGAAAGAACCAAGGCTTGACATTTAAGGTAGCTCTGATGTAAGCAAGATTTAGACTTTCTTCCTTAGAGAGACTTAAATCTAAGAAGAGCAGTTAGAAAGTGGTAATTTATTGCAGTACAGATGTTTCTACCTTCACCGGTTGGGAGAGTCTTAATTTCATAAGTTATAACTCCTGGGCTTTATTCAAGGAAACAAAGGTATTTCTCAGGTACTGTGTCTGTCTCTCTCTCTCTCTCTCCCACCCCCACCCCACCATAGCTAGCCATTATTAGCAGAATTTTGTGCATGGATACTTTTATACACTGAACCCTTTTCCACTGAAATGGAAAAATAAAAAACTTACAGAAACACTAGCTCATTGCTTACGAAAAAAAAGAAAGAAAGCTGTAGAATAGAAAGCAGAACTTAATTTTGCCCTTGATTGAAACTGCTGCTATAGAGAAAGCCAGGCTGAAAGAGGCAGACAATACTGCAGCAATCATATTGGAAGGAAGAAATATAAGAAAGAAAAAACAAGACATTAATAACTAGCTGCTTTGGGATGTTGCAAGTACACAGCCACAAGATGGAGCACATGCTTCCATGCTCTTCTGAATAAAAGTCTACAATAAAAAGAGAAAGAAAAAACCAAAAGAAAAAAAAAAATTATAGAAGGAGACTGTTAGTGTACATAATCAAGTTAAACAATTACCAGTACAGCAGCAGTCTGTTCAACTAACGCCGGCCTCCCGCCTGCGCAGTTCAGGGTAAAAGGAACCGCATACTGCGGAGTGATGGTGGCTACGTGTGGATGAAGAGTTGCTACCATTAGTGGTGTACAGCTTCCCTGAAACGTAGATTAGGAGGTCAGTGAAACAGTGTTCTAAAAATATAGGTTATAAATGTATGGGTTCAACATTACGATAAACTGTGGGTAGACTGAAAAAATAAACACCAAAAAAAACTTGTTAGCTAGCTCTCAGGGTTTTAAAAACCACCCTTAAGTCAGTAAGGCAAGAGTGCAAATAAAAGTTGGGGGGAAAAATAAATTGCTTTAATACTTTAGTATTACGCCACAATTTAGTAGCAACAATTGTACTTGGAATCTTGATATTAGGCACACTTTTCAGCTATCCTACAAAGTTTGGGTTTGTAGCTCATCTAAATGAAAGATACAAAAGTGTCTTAAAAAGAAAATGGTAATGAATATTAAAGTTTTCATATAGGTGCCAAGTTTTAAACCAGTAATCTGTTTCATATTGAAAATGAATTGGACATTACTACCCACTTCTATCATGTATCCCTTTTACATTGTGAGGTAAGAAGTGGTAGTATAAAATCCAAAGTTTGGCTAGAGATACCAGAAAAGGGTCACACAATGCCCATAGTGTGATTTCAGCATGAGATCAGTCAGTAGTAGGGACTAATTTGTAATGCATATTTTCCAAAGTTTAAAAATCTTGATGGGTGGCGCAATACCCGTAAAGGTTGTTTTTTTTTTTTTTAAATTAAAGCTACAGTGTCTCATGTTACTATGGGATGTTTAACTTTTCTACTTTAAGCATATTACATCTGGCAAAGACAGGGATTGCAAAACCTAGTTAATGTGACCTTTTTGCTGGTGGCATGGTTATCAAAGGTCAATTGTCCGAAACATTTGTTTGTTACAGGGTCTTGCTAGACTATTCAATGTAACAGTTTGTTGTGTTACAATTAATTTTGTTAACAGGGCTCTGAAGGGAAAGAAAATGTGGGCCCATCTGTCCTGTACAAATTTAGATTTATTTAGGCTGTGCCCATTTTGTTTTACGGTATAAAAGCAAATTCGAAAAAATGTAAATGTCCTGCTCTGTGAAGAGTTAAAAACACATGTCACAAAGCTAGAGTGAAAGGGGGGGGGGGGGGAACAAATGCAATATCAACTGAATAATCTTCCACCTGTACAATTACCGAGGGCCTGCATGAATATCCATTATTGGCATCTTGTGCTCCTCATACCACTGAATTCTGATTTCCAACAGCTTTGTAAGGTCAAGTTCCACTATAAATTCCATTAAAACGCACTTTTACGAGCTCTCCCAATAAAAAGCACAGAAGTTTATTTTTAGACAAAATGACACTGACTGCAGTGGGTGTTCATATGCTGGGATGCATTTTTCAGATATGTACAATTAAAATTAATTCATCTTTGGATCAAAGCCAGGGATGAAGAAAAAAAGAAATGTGTGTTAACAAATGTGCAGACTGATTGCTAAATGAAGAGCTTAACACGGACTTTTTTTCCCACATTCTGATATCAAGCCTGCTTCCATTCAAACCAGACTGGTATGTAACACTTGTCCTTGAATGCAAGTTACACAATAAATGGCATCTGGAATTTTCCATTAAGATTGAATAAGCAGAGACGTTCGAGCCTCTAGGTGTGGTAAATTATAAGGGGAAAATGCCAACATTTACACATCTTTTTACTTTGTCAAGCTTCAGTATCTAGAAAATTTAGCAGCTAGTGTCCCAATGCTCTTAACCTACCATCTGCTTCACATTTATCACCATGTTCTCCCCTCTTTTCCTCCCTCCTTCCCCCCCGAAAAAATAAAAACCCTGCATAACTGAGGAACCTAAATATGACATTACAAAATCAATATGGTTAGGCAAACCTTAATGCCAATAAACGGGAAGATAAATCAATTAAAGCATTGAGGAGAGTCTATACCAGCAATGGGAGGGGAGGGAAGTCAACCCCACAAATAGAAAAATTGTAGATAAAAATCTAGATTTAAATTGGCACCTATATGAAACAATATTACACTACATACATGGCTAAACTATATAACGGGGTTGATATATATTTCCTTGAGATAACAGGCCAATTTGAGTTTAACTTTAAAAAAAATTATATAAGCCAGGAGTTCTCTGGCTTAAGGAGGAGAGAAAAAAAAAAAGTACATTTGTGGAGTAATAGTAACTAATTGAGGAGAGCGAAAAATAAAAATCGAATAGGAATGCAATAAAAAAAAATAAAAACACGTGATTGACAGCTTTAACTGAAGTTTCTCTACTAGATACCTTCATAAAAGCAGGAAGCTGTACACCAAAACTTACCAGAGTAGTTTGAAAATAGTCCTACTAAAGAGAATTGAAATATCCTGTGGATCTCGTCAATGTCTTGAAATCTATTGAATAATTTTTTTATTTTATTTTAAGTGCATTAAAAAGATGCCTTAAGCTACCAAATACATTACCTGTGTAAGAACGCCTGACTGGATCTGAAGGGGCTGTGCAGCTGGAGCTTGTGGTACAATAGGAACACTATTGTCCATGCGAACAGGGAAGCCGGAATGCTTAGTAGTTGCTTGAAGTCCAGCAGCTAGTAAAAAAAAAAAAAACAAAACAAAAAAAAAACATGGTACATATAGGTTGTAAACAGTCATATGGAGAAATGTATCCAGCATGTGCCACTTACAGGCTTAAGGTTAACATGTAAACTCTTCCAAAGCATTTACATTGTAAAAAAAAAAAACCCTATGTAAAAGGACTTAAAGCCTGAGACATGCAGCCACCACAAATACCAGTGCGTTAAATTCTGTAAACTCATCAAGGTAATATGTATGATGAATGTGACCAACTGCTAAGGCAATAGGTATTCAGAATATGGAAGTCGTTTTCTATAGGCCTTAAAGCGGCACTGTCATGCCGAACCCTGTTTTTTTTAACCCCCTCCCGTCTCCACTACATCTAACCAACACCCTAGTCACCCCCAAATGCCCCTAAGCCCCCCACATTACCTATTTTTTATTCCTTATTTTCTGCCCGATCTTTATTCAGGGCGCAGCCATCTTTGTGTGGGTAGATGAAGTTCCTGTGGGACACGTCATCAGCCCACACTAGATGGCGCTGTGAGATTTCCGCACATGCCCAGTGAAACACCTGGACATGCGAATGGGAATTTCATCTATTCAGACAGACGAATGAGTGAATAGAAATATCAGCCGAACAAACAGTATCAGTGCATATGTGTATCTGAGTATCAGTGTTCGTTTGTTTGTTCAGTGTATTACAAGGAGGGAGCTACTGGCACGCAGCTCCCTCCTTGTAATATGTAAAGATAGAAGCGGCAGGGAGCAGTGCTCCCCACCACTTCATAAGCCCCCCCCAGGTCCCCCCTCACTCTATGGGGGTCAATATGACCCCCATAATAGCATAAGGGAGATTAAAATCTCCCCAATGCCCCTACTCGCTATACCGTGAGTAGGGGCATGTCCACTAAGTAGTGAGCAGCCTGTGGCTGCTCACTTAAAAAATAAAAAATAAACTATTGGCCGCCACCCCTAAACAATGGGTGGGGGCCCTAAAGTAAAATAAGGGGGAGACCTATTGTCTCCCTCCCCCCCCTGCGCAGCAGGTGGGGGCCATATTGATAATGAGGGGGGGGACCTACTGCCCCTCGGTGACTAGGGGTCCCCAAGCCCTAGTCACCCCACCCAAATAAAAAATTGACTTAAGGGCCCCCACCCGCTGCCCAGGGCCACCCCCCTCCCCCATTATCTTTATGGCCCCCACCCGCCGCCCAGGGGTGGGGGCTGGAGGGGGGGTGGACAGTAGGTCCCCCCCTCATTATCATTATGGCCCCCACCCACCGCCCAGGGGTGGGCAGTAGGTGTCCCCCCCCATCATTATGACCCCCACCCACGAGTGAAGGTGAGGGGGGAGGACAGTAGGCCCCCCATTGTCTTTATGGCCCCCACCCGCTGCCCAGGGGTGGGGCATTAGGTCCCCCCATTATCATTATGACCCCCACCCACCGCATAGGCAGCTATCTACTAAGTGGCTGCAAGATGCAGCCACAGCAAGAATAGGATCGGAGTTTCATTCATTTGAATGAAATTCTGATCCGAATAAAGTGCCGAATTGCGTTCTAAAAGAAACGAACATACTGTTGTCATTCAGTTAGAATGCAATTCGGCAGTTGTGTAAAATGACAGGAAGCATCGTGGGAACAGAGGAAAAGTAAGGATCATGGGAAAATTGCTCCGACCAGCGGAAATGAAGCACACTTTGCTCCTCCGCTGGTCAGAGCTGGTCAAGCAGAGGAATCCTCCATAAGGCAAAGAGTCCCTACTTTGTCTTATGATTTTAAAGAAAACTAAAGAAGACAGGAAGAAAAGAAGAACAGATCCTGAGAGAGAGGGAGAAGAGGAAGAGATCGAGGAAAGGTAAGTTCAGCATGACAGTGCCGCTTTAACCTCACATGACTCTTAACTCTACTCCGCTGACCTAGAATATTCCCTATTTGAAATTCCAACTAAAATTGAGCTTTTATAGTAGAAGAGACCTAGGATACATGCCACAGAAAATTCTAGAGTTGTGGGCTAAAGGATGGAGTTCCACATGGGGCTGCAGCTCATAGCATCCAAATGCTTCTCTTAAGAAAACATTGAATTCAATGTTTTCTATCAGTTCCTAATGCTCCTCTTAGATTGGCTATCATCTCAAGAGCCAGAGCAGTGTGAAAAAGTGAAATGTTTTACTGGAAAATTAACCCATTATTTCGAACTTTGTGCTAGGCAGTCTACTTTTTGGGCATTTGTGGCTGATCTGAGCAAAACCATAGAATAAAAGTGCTTCCACGAGTTGACATATTTCAAACGGAGATTGCTTACCTTGAAATGCTGGAGGACAGACTATAAAGGTCTGCTGGAATGGATCTGTTTGGGTGCAGAGCTGTGTTGTTCCAGGTTGCAATGACACACTTTGCTGTGCCACACCAGTAACTGGAGCAGCAGATGGTGGGTAGAGAGCCGACTGATAGTTAAGCAAAGAGACATCCGAATTGGCCAATGAAAGAGTAGCGGCAGATGAACTGGAAGCCAGCACACTAGCCTAGAGATAAAACATGTATAAGTTTTAGAAGAAATTTAGCTGTAGTGCAAAACCCCAACATATATAAAAAAAAATTGTTTCCAGTAGACATGCAATGCAAGTCCAATTTCCCAGCATTCAACTGACTGGCATTAATATTCTTAGATGTCCATTTGATTTCTGCTATATCGCACAATATTTGCCAATTACAAGAGCCAGTTTATGTTGTATGTGGCATCTGGAATACTTTGTCAGGTTTTTTTTAAACAGAATCATTTGTCACCTAAAAACCTCACAGCTGACCGTTCCACGATTACAGTACACCATTTTAAGCAAGCCATGTGGTAACTAGTTTGTGTGATATAGTTAGTCTGCAGTGATGTGTAAGCCATTTCACAGACCAGTAAAATTATATTAATCTAGTGCCCTTTTATTAAAAGAACACATGATCACTTTCTAGTGTCATGGGATCCATGAAAGAAACGTGCAGGAATGCTGGATAATTGGTTATGTTACGTAGGAAGAGCAATCTCCCACAGAACACTTTAATTTGCTTCAGTGAGTCAGTAAAGCTGGAAAATAATTTTCCCCAATGCAAGTGTTCCACATTTAACTTTTAATAACTTAACCCATTTAAATAACAGCCACATGCAGAAGGTAGGCAAGTAAATGTGTTTTACCTAGCTCTACTACAATATCTGTATTGATGTGGGAGTTTAAGCACCAGAGGGAAGTAATTGGAAATTGTGTTATATGAAAAAAAAAAAAAAAAAAAGTTAAAGTGTTATTCCTGGCATGGACATTGCTAATCTTTTATGCTGAATTTCCAGCAGCTTGACCTGGACTCTGCACTGTATACAGTAAAGCAGAATTCAATTTTGAATTAAAAATGTAAAGCTGCACCACTGATGTTCTACCCGTGGATTACCAATCTGGTCTATGGTGCATTGCTTACCTGATTGTGCACAGTGTTCAGCTGATTGTTGAAGCTCATGGTCAGGTTTGTGCTTGTATTTGGAGCAACATGGGTTGTGAAGGGACTCTTGATCTGATTCACTGTATCATACATATTACTTCTCCTCTTACATATCTCCATATTCTGAAAACAGGACTTTACACTGCATGGAATGGAGAACAAGTCAGCATTAAAGTGTTACCGACAGTCTCCCCACACCCACCATCCAACTTTCCATTTTTTCTCCTGAAATACACGCCTACCATAGGGTAAGTTTGGTTTGATTACAATCTAGTAAATAAAGAAAGCTCCTTAGAAACCCATTCTGAAATGTTTGCTCAGATTTACCTTTCCTCATTCTTTGCCACTCTTTGGATCAGAACTACTTTTACAGGTTTATTCACTTAAGTATGAAATGTTTAGTGAATAAACTTTGGAGTTTTGCAAACTACTTTGGAGGGATATGGGACAAAAAAAAATTTAAAGTTTAAAATGCCAACCCGATTGAAAAAATAAAAATACATAGTTACCTTGCTGGCCCTTAGCAAAAAAACATGCATCCTATAGAGTTATAAAGTAAATAACTAACCAAGACACATGACCATCTCTTTGAAGAGGGAACAAATTGAATTAGTATAAATCTGTTAAATAAGTTAAAGACAGATTTGTGGCGGCTATTGGATTATACCATTATTACTCCCGGAGAACTGGTCCTCTCAAAAAAACAGGACTAAGAAAATGAACCTCATGTCGACAGAACAAGGTGGTGTGCATGGGCTTGGTAGAGCACCAATATGTTAGACTATTGGGTTATGGTCATCAGTAGCAAGACCATTCAAAACACATTCCAGTCAAAGAGTTTTCATTTAAGGAATACATATGCAAAATGTAAGGCATTTATAGGTCAGATCCAATGTGCACTGTTGGCCAAGACTTATGCCCTTCCCGTGTGATGAAAATAAGTTGTTTCAGCACTTTTTGGTATTATTTTGGGTCACATGACTCAATATTAAAGGACCTGTTAAAACTGGTTACATTTTACTAGTGTACTTAAAAAGGAAAAGCACTTGACCAAACTGACCTGTCTAGTCAACAGTACAATTCAAAAGCTTACATAAAGCAAACCACAACTATGCATGTACTTTAAAAGAGGTTACTCACTGGTTGCTGTGCGGGAAGTCAAGCAGGTGGGTCATTGTGGTAAAGGTATGGTTTAGGGTTTTCAAAGGGGTTATCCTTTTATCCGCATCAATGGTCAACATTTTCTTCAGCAAGTCTATATATTCTCTTCGATCTGCCTTCTCTGTCAACATGTCAGTGCCCTCTAGGTCTGTAGATATATTTACCTATTGGTAAACATAAGGAGGGAAACAAAGTTGACATTTAAAAAATAAAAGACAGGAAACCAGAAAAATTCAATTATTAACGTGGCACTGAACATACATGAAGATAAGGCAGTGCAACAGCACATTTAATGCTAAAATAAAGGGCACACATACAAAACACTGCAATGTAATGAAAGTTTTAAAAACACCTTTGTAAACCAGGTAATTTGTATTGATACAAAGATTTTGGTTATTGGACCTTTAACTTACTAGGATGGCGCCAGAAATTCCCTTTGAATAGTTTTCCCTCCTTTTATTTTTCTTAAAGGACAATAGTTATTTTGAACTGTCCACGTCACTTTTTCTTAAGAAATCAAAAGTGGCATGCAAGACAAATTGTTTTATAATGTTTGTAGTAACATACATATAAGTGTGTGTGGCACCAACACTGAGTGTATGGCACTTTAGTAATTTTTATGGTTTCTTTAAGTTTGGACATGAAATAATGGCAGGTAGGCAATCATCCCTACACGACGGGCTTTAGCCACCACCAACATTAAGCCGTACAAAACATACAAGTATACCTGAGCCATGTCATCCAAACAATTAAAGATGTATTTTCTTGCTTCTTTTGACTTTATTGCAGTCTCCATTTCATGCTCCTCAGGGGTCTAAAACCAAAACAATGTACATGATTTGCAATATTGCACCATTTATAATACAGATCTGTTTTTAGAATTCAGTTTTACTTATGCTGGATAGCAGTGACATCAAATTTTGAAAACCCAAGTTTCCTTTTAGGTACTCTTACCATAATCTTTTGTACATTTACAAATAAAGCATGTTTTGAAGAGGTAAACCGGAAAAAAGCTCAAAAAGACATTGCTTTACCATGGCTGCATAGAACATAACTTTCCAACACAGCCTTAGAAAAAATGTATATAATTGGGACAAAGTTTGCTTAAAGGACCACTCTAGGCACCCAGACCACTTCAGCTTAATGAAGTGGTCTGGGTGTCAGGTCCAGCTAGGGTTAACCCATTCTTTTATAAACAGTTTCAGAGAAACTGCTATGTTTATGAATGGGTTAAGCCTTCCCCCAAAGCCTCTAGCGGCTGTCTCATTGACAGCCGCTAGAGGCGCTTGCGTGCTTCTGTGATTTTCACAGTGAGCACGCAAGCGTCCATAGGAAAGCATTGATAATGCTTTCCTATGCGACCGACTGAATGCGCGCGCAGCTCTTGCCGCGCGTGCGCATTCAGCCGACGGGGAGGAACGGAGGAGGAGAGCTCCCCGCCCAGCGCTGGAAAAAGGTACGTTTTACCCCTTTTCCAGAGCCGGGCGGGAGGGGGTCCCTGAGGGTGGGGGCACCCTCAGGGCACTATAGTGCCAGGAAAACAAGTGTTTTCCTGGCACTATAGTTGTCCTTTAATGCACTCTGCAAAAACAGTCAGCACATATTCATGTGGCAATAGATAAAGCTTTCTCAAAAGCTACATCAGCGTTGACATTTGCCACCTGCCATTAATAGAACTATTTTCTCCATTTCAGTTTGAACCGCCACAAAATTGGTATGCCATTGGTAAGGCAAGTTTGTTAAAAAAAAAAAAACACATCAGAAAGTACAAGGGTCTGTTGCAAATGGTATACAAAATCACAGAATGGTAAGAAAGGCCACCACAATATAGGCATTTCCAACCAAATGCACAAGGAAGATTGAGAACATCCCGCATGTGAAAACATTCTTTCCCATCCTTTACTGTAGTAATTTCATGGCAAGGATCAGGCAGGATGCATTACCTTTAATAGAATAACTAGTAAGGTTTTTCATTTGTACACTTATGAATAACTAGGTCTAGTCCTCGCCTGACTTAAGGAAGAAAACAAAAAAATTTAAATCTCAATGTAACGAACTGCACAAATTTTGGCCATTTAAATTTATAGAACACAAACGAGCAGTCTAGGCACCATAAACACTATATGATGAGTTAGGTTCCATTAGCCCTTGGGAGTGGTTGCCAATTTGCACCAAAATAGGGATCTTCAAAGCACTGCTTGCCCAGATCCACAATGCCAGAATTGGGAAAGCTGGGTGATTCTCAGCAGCATAAGCAATATCAGTTCCGTTCATATTTGAAAACCACTGGAAGGCTATGGGCATGACAGCTGACTGATTGACCAAACAGCACAATAGCTCAACGATTATGGTGCCTGCCCAAAACAACTGCATTAATGAGTGAGTAAAAAGGCAAATTCGATTGCTCAGTCAGCTCCCACTCAAGCTGTGTAAATTGTACCCTCTTCTGGCTTATTAGCTCGTAAAAACATTAGATACATAATTGTTTAGTGCATAATAGGAAGCTAACATTTTTTTCCCCCCTCAAAGAACGAACCTTCAGCCGCCATAAGGGATAGCCCAAGTCAGGATCTCTGTTGAAAAACCTTGAAGTTTTTGTTCCAGCACTGAGAAGATACTCTGCAGGAAGACCTTGAGTCTGGGATATGTATCGGATCTGAAAAATGAACAGTTTCACACATGCAATTAACTACCCTTGATTCACATTACTCACAGCAAGGTACTGACGTGTTAAAACAAAATATATCCTCCTTTGGCATGACATTGGTCGCTTTGTTGACAACAGGTCAAATATTTAAAGGCATATTCCAACCATCAAGAGCCCATCTGATTTTAGAAGTAGGAAGAGGTTGTGGTGGTAGGAACCTCTGCGTCCCTTTCTGGCTCAAAGCATGTGCATGATCGGAGTCCGTTAACAGGTCCAATCAGAGGCTTCTTTATGAGAAGCTTTTGACTGTACCTCATGCGGCTGCAGAGAGGTAGAGAGCATTGCCAGGGGCTTCCTCTGGTGCCAAGTTTTAAGTAATACCTTTAACTATTTCAGTTATTAGAGAAGGACAATCTGAATAATAATTGAACAAAACAAATAGAGTATTAAAAGGCTTGAAATAACACTTAACATTTTTTGCAGAAAAGTTTCACCATTTCACAAACCATCTTTACATTCATGCTTGTTCTGCTCATTTTCTAGCAGAGAAAACATTCCCATCACTGCCGTCCATTGCTTATAGGGATTGTTATGGCCATAGAAACAATGGGTGTTGAGCGCAGACCGATAGCAGTCAAGTGACAGTTGCAACCTTCTATCACTAGTGTTAACAAGGAAGTGTTGGCCAAAGCAGGAGCAGCAGGGAGATGTCAAGGTGACCAGTGACTAATGCACCATTAAAAATTAAACCATTTACCAGGGAACAGAGGAATGGCGACAGGGTACTGTAGTCATATCCAGTTCAAAGAGATGAAGTGGTTATGATGCCCATAGTGTACCTTTAAAGGAACACTAATGTTAGGAATACAAGCTTGTATTCCTAACACTTTAGAGCCCAGTCCTTTCAGTTTGTTGTAAAAACCTGGGAAAAAAGAAAATTTACACTTTTTCAAGCGCCAAGACATCAAAGAGGCGAGGCTTTAACATGTTTAGCATTGCAGGGTTAAAAACAGTACCATTACAACCATATCACTTCATTAAGACTAAGTGGTCATTTAAAGCAGACATTTAACACTATAAGGATTGCTTTATGTTTATAACATGGCTTAAAAGGACACTAGTCATCCAGACCAATTCAGCTCAGTGAACGCATTGAGAAATTCTTTCCTATGGACAAGGCGCGCGGCTCTTGCCATGCATGCGCATTCTGCTCTGTAGCTGACGTCATCGGGGCAGTAAAAATCACCAGCACTGAGGGAGCCCGGCGCTGGATTAAAGTGAGTAGCTGAAGGGGTTTTAACCCCTACAGCACGAAGGGAGGGGGACCCAAGGATGATATAGCATCAGGAAAATTAGTGTTTCCCTGACACTATAGTGATCCTTTAAATTTAGTTCACACAGCACTGTCAAGTATAGACTTCCAGTTTTCATTATAACCCTGTATCTTAAATGTTTTATACTCTTCTCCCACCCCACCTCTCCTTTTCTTTATACATTTTATCAAATATGGAGTGCTTCAAAAACAAAAAAGCTGCATAGGTAGCTAAAGGACTAATGCTTCCTCACCAATTTATCAATTTTCTACTGCAAGACAGGACTTGGGATGCAAGACACAGGACTTCAAAGGCTCAGGTGTAGCATCCGATACATTAGAAGGGGAGGATATACATAGATTGTGTAGCCAATTTGATAGTCATTAACCTCAAACCCAATAAATAGCAGATCTAAAAGACTTGCCAAAATTTGAATGCTGTGACCTGTACAAGTCATGCATGTTGTGCACACATCCAATTCTACTCACAGGAAATTACAGAATGTGTTCCTATGAGCTGCAGAGTCACTCTGTCAGTGCAGCAGACGTGCCTCCAGCGGCTGTAAGTATGACATCTTAAAACTTTCAAGCATACACAACCACTGCACTGAGACCATTTCATGGCCTGGGCAACTATAGTGGTGCTTTAATAAGTACTTTCCAATTTACAACACATGTTTCTGTAAAATTACGTTAGGTCTTACCTGATCATATTCTGATGCACCAGGATAGAGTGGCCACCCAAGGAACAGCTCTGCTATGACACAGCCCAGTGACCACATATCAATTGCTTCACAGAAAGGCAACCCAAGGATTATTTCAGGAGCTCTGAGAGCGAGAAAGAGTACAGAAGGCATACAATCAAACACTGCAGCAGCAACATAAAACCAATATTGAGGGGGAAGCATCACGGTGGATTTTACATAACCATTAGACAAGATGAAAAAAAAAAAAGTATTGGGGCTGATGTGCACGATGGCCGTTGCTGCTGCCCAAGGGTAGTGGGAGATTGAGCGCAGGACTTTTGTAAGATTAAAAAAAAAGTTGACAAAATGGAGGATTGTATTTCTACATTTATCTAGATTGCATGGGGAATTAAGTTTCACCCCTATAAAACCAAACCGATTCAACTCCTAAATGACGGAATTAAAGTGATGCTACAGGGGCATGATTTGTACACACAAATTAAGTTAAGGTTGTTTTGGTACTCACGGCCTTTTAAAGGCAGAGGAAAAAAATAACCCTTCTGCCAATATATAAAAGGGCCTTTTACATTGCCATTTGGTTAATGCCTGTAAGAATTTATCTTTAGTACTTGGGATTCTTAGAGACTGACGTACAAAAAGTTGGGTAACATTTCACACGTCAGCCGCTAAAGCATGAACTTCCACTGGGTGTTAACAGGAAAAAAAAAAAACATTTGTAAGTTTGTTTGAGCAGTCTTCACCTCGTGTCAATTTTGTTCAACATCCCCTGTTCCACAATTGTTTATGGATTAGAAAATTCTGCCAGCATATTCATTTAGAATTATGAGATATTTGAGGGGAGAGATGAGCTTGACAGGCAGAGAAGTGAAATTGTTAGGGTACCTAAAATAAGTGGTTTATGAGTCTGCAACAAAGCTTTATATAAATAAACCTACAAGGAATGTGCAGAGTGTATTAACACCAGTTCCTTAGAAATTAAACTCAATATTGTACAGTATATAGTTGTATCACAGGATAGATCAAGTCATTGCTCAGTGGCAAACACTAGTGTATGAAGTACAGATATGGGAACAAGGAATCAAGTGATGGAAAGGGTGCAGACCCAGTGCTAGGCCGGGAAGGCTGAGAGCATTATGCATATTAAAATAAGTATTGTATTGTTACATACAAGTATATTTGGAGTACTAGTTTCATAACATATTACACTTCCTTTAATATACATTTACACTATAGCCCCTATACATTCACAATATCCTCTATATTTACAATAAATACATCCTGGCAGGCAGGACAGGGATGGCAAAGAATGCAGCTTAAAGTGCCTGCAAAGTTGTGGTGTAATAAGGCGGACCCCTTGAGTCCAGCCCTTTGTGTAAAGGGACTCCAAGAGTTTATGATGAACGTGTGTCTATGAAGAAGTAAGCAGCAAAACCATTACATCTTAACATGCAGGGACAGTCACTAGTGTTGCTTCCTCTAAAAATTTTATTTTCAAGTTTCATGTGCCAAGTCTCACACACACACCATGACAACAGCAGAATGCAGTTTTAGGACATTGTCGGCTATACGCAGTGGTGCCCATGCTTAATGAAAAGTGAAATTTCAGAAGCCAGATGCCACGCTGGGGAAGGGGGGATAGCAGATCTTCGCTGGAGATAACTAGGGGTTAAACAATTCCTGAAGTTTAATCCCTTGAGGTAAGCGTGCATCCGGAGTCCTTAGTGGATTTGGTGTCTGGAGTGTCCTGTTAATATGACAGCTAAAATTCGAAGTTTCGTTTTGGTCAGAACTTTGACAATTGCCTCCGTCCTTACAATTCGAAGAAGGACACCACCAAGATGATTACAATTAGAATAAGAACGTTAGCATAACAAAACAAGAATTCAAACTGCATACACCGTGACCAATAGCGTTCCTGTTTACGGGGCCAAATGACCCATTTGGGGTCCCAGACATGCATGCTTGGCTGCCCATCAGGATTACTCTGTGGGAGAGGTAAACCCAAAGTTCTTAGGAGAGCAGGGTATTCTATAGGAGTGGATATCTTGTGCACAGTCCCATTGTGTGTGACCACTAGGAGCCAGGGTGACACCCAGTGATACTCCAGCTGCTCTCAGTTGACTGGTAACAAGATTTAGAGACCTTCGCCACTAAAATAAACCAGGCGAGTTCCTGGTAAAAGTGAGGTTAGAGCCTTCAAAAAAGTTAAATGGTGTCCTGCCCTGGAGTGCTGGACCTTTTTATCCGGTGAACGATAACATCACGCATCGTGGACTTTGCGAGATGGTAGATCCCATCTAAGCAAAAACTTCTTGGCCTGACTTTGTAATACTGACACAAGGCATCTTATGTAGTGGAGAAGCTCTTCTGGTGTGATTGTATTGGGTACATCTGATCTGCAGGTGATTGCGGTGAGATCAGTCATCAAGAGCAGTGTAATGAAGTGCGAGAGCATGTTGATTAGCTTGCAAGGTTAGTACAGAGTCCTTTAGAAAAGAAAGCCCTGCTTAAGGTCATAAAGTCTTCCTCCGAGGCCTTAACACAATTTTGATGTCTAACCACTTGGATGTGTGCTTAATGATTGCCCCATCAGCTGCCAGTAGATTTTATTTTTTCACAACCAAATTGTGAAAGTCTTGCTTAGCATCAGGAACCAACCCATCTTGGGTGTCCAGTATGGCATGCATTTGCACCAATGGTTCATGCCATGGGGATGATTAAGCTAGCGTGGGATCAGGCGGTACATCTACCTTGTGGCTCCCTGCTGCTACCATTTTAGGCAGTGGCTGCCGGTGAAGGGAATCTATAAGTATGGATCTTGAAGGCAAGTCCTGGTGTACCCCCACCCTACCCCCCTCCCCCCCCCCCAAAAAAAGTTTTGCTAGAGGATCAATGTGAAATGAGAGTGCTCTTTTTTAAGGTTAAGCTCTGCCCCTGAAAATATTTCCTCGAGTGGTTTTAGTGCATAAATGTGTTTTAGACCATGCAAAACATTGTATTCAAGCAGGCCAGCATTTAGAGATTTTTCTGCACCCATGCAGAACATTAAAAAAGGAACAGTGATAAACTAGATTTAAAATTCTCAATTTTCTTTGAATTAAACTTTTTAAAAATGCATCTATTTTAGACTAAAAATAGAAGAAAAGCGAGACGTGGTCAGTAAAGAATAAAATGTCAAGGACTTAAGAGTCTGATACAAAACAGAGCTGACAGCCAGGTGTTCACTATTAAAGAGCATCTTGTTCAGATCTCAGTTTCCTTGGAGACAAAGGTTCAGTACATAAGATCCAAAAATCACCAATTTTCATCTATATGCATATATAGAAACACCTGGCGGTGGCGGTGGAGGGGAGGGGTAAAGAAAATGCATTACATGACATCACTGCAGTATAAGTCACAATCTGTTCACATGTCAAAGCCATTTGCTACAGCTATTAAACAATGCTGATAGAGAAGCAAAAATGCAATACTTATTGCTACCTTAATGTAAACAGCCATTATCAGACCTCTCCCCTTAGCAACAGTCTTCTCACTCTTCAAATATACATTTTATTTGCACACCTCCCCCCCCACGTAAGTAGAAAGTTAACAGTAAAGGATATTTTAATGAAATAAAAGAAATATACCTACATTTACAAAGCTACACAATTATGTTCCCTACAAAAAAAAAACCACCAAAACGTCAGCCAAGCTGCACTAGTTTTGAAGACAGGTCTGGGCTGTACAGTGGATGCAGCAGTACTGAACAGTCCAGGTGTTGAATCACATCTTTTTGCTGCACTGGCGTTGGCGTTGCCTGGCGTTGGCGTTGCTTTGAAGGGATTTAGTTCCTTATTTCAATCTGTGTACGTTACATTGAAACTCTTACCGTATTAAAAATAATCAGTTTGTTCTTTTTTCAAGAACATGTTCAGAATTCCAACAAAAAAATCCTTAACATAAAACATGACCTTCCCAGCTGAGGCCTGGGGGTGATCCCTTATGGCAGTATTCAATGAACTGCTGGGTGGGAAGTATAAGCATCTGTGTGCAATGTCAAGAATGATGGAGGGGAGATACAATGTGACTCCACAGAAGGCGTTTCCTCCAGTTATGTTAAATGTAACTAAAAATATTACAGCAGAGGCAAAATGTATCAGCCAGTCCTCATATATGCACATTTATTACCAGATCCATATACACAAACCAGTGCACTCACTAAAACTTTAAAGTTTGCAAAGCAGGCCTGACGTAAAATATTTTTTAAAAAATTACAGTGCATGAAGCCTACAAAAACACCAAAGTCCTATATGCGTATTCTTATGAGAATAAGCCACTTTGCCAGCAGTGATCTGGAAGGATTTTGACAGTTACGTTTTTGGTATCTACAAAATATAAACATTTTACTTAAATTAGAAGTCACTACAACCTTTATTTTTTACAGTCTATGCCAGGATAAGGCAGCATTCAGCACTCCAGATTTTTGGATTACATCTGATAATGCGCCGACAGCCCAAATATTGGCAAAGCACCTTGGTACATGTAGTTCAAAACATCTGGAGTGCTGAAGGTTGCCTTTCCCTGGCATAACAATCATGTGGGTCCTTAAAAGGGTTATAGATAAAGTTATCCAACTTCTAAAACCGAACAAAAACTTAAATTTTAGCTATTCGTTTTGTTCAGCCATAATTCAGTGCACTAACCATACACAGTGGAACCTCTGAACTCGAACTTAATCTGTTCCAGAAGGCTGTTAGAGTTCCGATTTGTTCTAGAATAAAATAAACATTTCCCATAGGAATTAATGTAAATTTGTTTAATCCATTCCAGACCCCCAAAGTTACATGCATTGGGCTAGGCAACTGTTCTTCTGGCATTACATACAAAGGCATATAGAATGGCTGTACCAGGTTCAAGATATTGGATACCCCTCTTCCCTCTGCTTGTATCCTTATGTCCATAGTCCCTCTGGTATCCTTATATTGTCCTCTTTCTCCTTGCATAATAATTGTCCATATCCCTTCACTTGTGCCCCTGTGCCCTCTGGTTTTCCTCTCCATATATTCCCCTCTATCCCTTTACATAGTTCATCTGCCCATATTTCCTTATCTCACAGTTTTATCCCTCTGAATGCCATGTGATGTGTTTGGATAGGATCGTTCGCGTAGACTTTATGCATAACTTTATTTCCCCATTCCGAATTGTTCGGGAACTGGAACGTTCGAGTTTCCACTGTATAATCTTGTTCAGGAGAAATAAAGTGCTGCAATAAAATAATTAAATCCCCATGGTCACAATACAGTGTGTGCAAGGTTAAATCCCTGCTCACATTAAGAAACCCAGGAATCAGTAGATAATGGGGCTCCCTTGTCAGCTGGGGCAATTTTATTTTTATTGTCAGTCTTTAATAAAGTCAGAACAGCATATACCTAGACTTTTACATCACTAGAGAAACTGAAGCTGACCAATTTGGTGATTGGGAGACACTCCGGGTCTGAAAAGACCTTGAAGTGTCTCCCTCCAGTAGATGGCAGCAACACATCACTTTCAGCTTATAATTCCATTTACCAATATTAATACTACTATTCGAGGGAAATCTTTGGGATTAGAAATAAAAATTAGATTTGTACAAATATTAGGTTTAGTATTCGGGTTATATTTAAAATGGGTTTAGGCTTCAGATTATGGTTTGGATTAGGATTCAAGCCAGCAAGGGAATCCCTCTGCTGACATTTATAGTGTGAGGGTTTGGATAAAAAGCAAAATTAATGTTGGGCACAGAATTGGGTTATGATTAAGGTTAGGTTTATTTAGGAGTAGATTTGGTTTAGGATTAAGCATTGTTATATACTTTGACAAGTCTCATGACACTAGCTTCACAAATTTGTGAGAGAAAGGCATACATTGGAGGTATTGATTTGGTTAGAAGGGTTTGCAAAGCATAATTTAGGGGTTTGATCACAAAGAGAATTATAAAGAGAAACAATATATACTACAATAGCTAAGGATTTGGCAGTTTAATTGCTACAGAAGTGTCAAAATACCCTTAGCGAAACAGTCTGCAAGGTCTACTTTTGTATTTCATGTAGATGGACAAACTGGAAAAAGCGCAAGCATCTCTTATCTTACTAGGAAAAAGACCTTAAAGTGAGCCAGTACGTCAGTATCCTGGCAATAAAAACACCCAAATTCAGGTTCACCTAGGGTAAGAATCACTTTGTTTATCAAGCCTAGAAGGAAATGTGGGTTTATCAATCGGAAACTCTGGAGCACCAATGCCATTACCAACATTATAGAAACATCACTGGATAGAAGACAATTTGTCCCTTGTCTGCCAAGTCTCCAGGGATAAGGAACTTTCTTTTAGAAAAATCTGGAATAAGTTTCAGCAATTCAAGCTGCTTTCATGGATTACATATATGACCCTTCTTGTATGCAAGCCTACTAAAACCAATGCAACCTCAGATCTTGTGTGCATGTGTTACGAATTACAACAGTACAGGCTAATCTATACACACACAGGTTTGTGTTCTTTTTACAATGTTGCTAGTCAGTCAAGAAGGCAGTCAAAAACACCACAGCATTGAAATGTAAAGCTCAAACTAAACCAGTCACTAAAGTATAAACACCAGTTGCTTGGCAATGTATTCCAGTGTCACAAATCCGTACAACACATTCTGAATGCTCTCTAGGGTTCTTTCTGGAGTGAGGAAGGTTGCACATAAATCCCACTGCCCATAAGTCTTTAGCACTGCACAAAACAGATTGTCCCATTTCAAGTTCATTTTACTTTTTTTTTTTTTTAAAAAGGTAATACAAAATTGAGAAGTGTTAAAGGGAATTTAAAAAAACAAAAAACCTTATGGTGGAGAGTATTCACAGCAGAACACAATCAAAAACTAAAGTTACACAGCATATTAATCGGCTTCTGGTACTAAGCTATTGAAATATTGCTTTAAAAAGAGGGAAAATAGCAACTGTTCCTAAATAAGATACCTCTAAGGGTGTCACTAACAGCAAAGTGCTTACACTTAACAGACTATTCAAGTCATCATTGTTAAAATTAAAGGTGTGGCAAGTTCTCTGCTTAAATCTAGGACACTCCCAGATTGTATTGCATTTGATTTTATGACCATATGGTTTTTGAAAACCGGCTGAATATTTGACATTATAGGATATGGAAACATATGGAGAAGCAGTGTATTTATAAAGCCTCCTCAGGTCCCAAGATACAAGCTTGAGGGGGGCAGCAGCAACAAACCTTATATGAAAAAACACAGTATAAGCAGTCGAGATAAAGTGCATTCAAACCCCTTCATTATGTTAAAAACAATTGGAGCATAAGGCTGCAGCCTTCAAAATTGTATTTGCTCTCCCGCCTCCCCATCAACCTACATTTAGTTCTCCATATTAACAGGAAACAAATTTGACACCACTGAAGATTTATTAAACAGGAAAACAAAAAATATATTAGAGCCCACTCTTTTTCTATTACCCATGTGTCCTAAGCTGGCATCAAAGCTTTTAGCCAAAACGGACCTTTTGGGTTTTGATACCAGCAGTTTGTTAATCCTGTGTAGGTACATTTAAATGAACATTGTTCAGCATTCACGCTGCTAACACAGGAAGAGCATTCTTTTTGTTACTTGAGCTTTAGCCCATCAGACTGCTTTAACAAGCTGCTTAAAGTCTAAAGGCCGGCAAAATGTAATCAATTTGACTTAAAGGGACACTATATAGTCACCAAAACTACAGCTTAATATTCTGGTGACTATATATAGTGTACTTTAAGTAAAATTGAATAAATTTTTTCCAGCCTTTAGACTGAAGCGGCTTGTGGGTCTACCATGTTCCTGGATTCTTCCCAAGCCTACGCTGATTGAAAATGTATAGCATTCAACAGAAAACCAATCTCAGTTCCTGCAGACAGTAGGGTGTCTGCTGCACATGGTGTACACAGAAGGTATTTTGTCATTTTATGTGCAGTATCAAATTTATTTTTTTTAAATTAAAAAATATATATCACATTTTAAAAATCTACACATCCCAAATAAAAGAAAATCCTGGGTATTGTACAGTACTGCAGGTCGGCAATCTACTTTAAAAGGCAGCATTATGCCAGGGGCAAACCAGGCCAAAAAATAAAATGCATTAACGTGTTAAGCAGATATCACTGAACAGGAAACATGTCAAGCAGCTAAGAATAAAGGCAGATGTTGCTAGTCTGCACCTCTCAGCATCAACATTTGCATTTTGCAAATACAGAATAATCCTGCTTCCATCATTTACACATTTGCATTCTCCTCCAAGCATCACAAGTGCATCTGATAAAATTACCAATTTAATGTTAAAACTCGTACAGAATAAAGGATTACTCTGGTCTTACATTAATACTCTGTCACAAAAATGAAAGAATGGTGCCAGGTGTTACCCAAAACTAAAAATATCTACTGTTTAAATATTATAGAAGTGGTATTTAATATCATGAACAGGTGGTATATGGTACCAACTAGGAAGGGTAAAATATACAATTCAAGCTCCCTGGTGTGTTTGAGATTTAAAATATTATGGCTCCTTTTTACATATAGGTGGGAGTGTGAGTTGAAGGAGTTCTGGTCAAAGGTCTTCGAGATAGAAAGACTAATAAGAAAACGCCCTGCTACAACTTCATATTCATAATCTACAATCCAAAGAAGTTTATATTTATTTACACTATATGGCGGCGGTAAATACCAATTAAGGATGGAAGCCTTACTAGGCAGGTCTGAGCCAATGCTCGCATATATCCAGTTTGTATTTGTACCCAAACTAATGGAGAGAGAAGGAATTTAAACATGAACATAAACAGTACATTAATATCAAAAGCGAAGCAAGAGGTAAAGGAATGAGGCCCTCCTAACAATACCCAACAGGGATATATTTTTTTTGTTTTTTTAATTGTTCCTATTTTATGTCTTACTGTGCAGAATTTGTGCCCTGGCTAAATGTTTTTTGTATGAAAAACAAACAAAATAAAATACCTTTTACGGCAGAATATAAACTGGCATGGGTCATGAATTAAATAAATGAGCCATATCAGGTAGCACAAAATTAAACTTGACAAAATTACAAGGAAAAATTTAAATGCTGCCTTATGTGAAACATTTAATACAGACATGTGTTAATACTAGGGTCCTGGGAGCCTAAACATTTATAAATGTCATTTACCAGTCCAAAGAATTGACTATCATTTAGTTGTGAAAAAAATAAGTATCTTATGGACAGATTCTTTTTGACACAAGGAGTAGGGAGTCATAAGACTAGCATCTGGCAAGAAGCTGAACTCACCAGGCCCATCTCTAAGCCTCCAGTGGTTCACACACTATACAAGTAAAAAATGAAAGAAAATAGATTTCTGTATTATAAAATGTAATTGTTTAATCAGAGGAGTGGGTGGGTGACCAAACACCTTTCAAGAATTTAAATGGTTAACTCTACTTAATACAGTGTTCAAATAAAACCAAATTAACTGATCCCACACCAAGTTCTCCATGAAGCTCAATCCATGGATTATATACACAACTCCCCCTGCAGGTTTAGGGATATCCCTGAGGATAGGCAGAGTAGGGAGAGTAAGGGGCTTGGGCAACATGAATCTATTCTGATAGAGACTACAAGCACCATGAAAATTTCAAGATAGTGAAACCACGATGGTGCTTACAGTAATCCTTTAAACTAAGGACTTTTAATAAATAGTTTGCTTCAGTTGAAAAAAAACAAATCTCACCTGTAATACCGTGACTGCAGGTAGGTGGAACACACTGCTTTTGAGACATGACTGGCAGATCCAAAGTCTATCACCTTCACTCTGTAGGGCTGACGCACTGGGTCTACAAGCATGATGTTCTCCGGTTTAAGATCAGCATGAATCAGGCCTAAGCTTTTCAGTTTCATTAGGGCAGTTGCAACTTGCTGCAGTATTGGTCGAATGTATTTAAGAGGCAGAGGACTAAATTTATTCTGCTTGAGAAAGTCATAGAGATTCTGTTCAAGCATTTCAAAAACGAGGCAAGTATGATTCTTGTGCTGGAAGCACTCATAGGATCGCACAAAGTTGAATTCATCAGCATTCTCACTGCTCAAGCGAGAGAGTATACTCACCTCAATCTGCCCTTGCCTGGCATAGGAGGGGTGGTTCTTTAAGATCTTAATAGCTACTATTTCCTTTGTGCTCCGCTTCCAGCATTTTGCAACCTGACCAAATGTTCCTCTGCCCAAGAACTCCAAGACTTCATAGCTGTTGGTCATTGAACACAAAACTTCATGTTGAACAAGCTGGTAGTCTCCTTCTCCATTAGAACTGCTGCTCTTTGTAGTTACAGTGGTGGTTGTGGCAGCTGCACCCACCACGGTTCTGTTTTGGAGCATCAGAGGTGGCCGTTCATCAATAATTTGCACGCTACCGTTGCTGTCCACCTCTTCACTTTTTCTTTTCAGTCCACATTTTTGATAAGGTTCCAGAAGAGAAACGTTACTTCTGTGATTAAGAATCTGGTTGCTCTGAAAGGTGGTGGGGCCCCCGCCTGTGCTGTCTGCTGCTGTCACCACAATGTGTTCTGCCGCAGCGGCTGGGATCAGAAGGTTGGACTCATAGGCAGGCAGACCAAAACTAGGGACCTGGTGAGATGAACTTGCAACGTGTCCTTGAGCGACTGGAATGTTTTTGCTGTGCACGTAATACTTATTACTCTGTCCCGTAACATCCCAACCAGAAGGCTCAACTTTGAGTTTCTTTGCACTGTAGAAGGCACTGGACGTTACTGAAGGAGGGGAGAACACTTGCAGCTGTGAGGCCATACCTGAAAGACAGTAAGTGTAAAGTTCAATTTTGGCCATATTAACAAAAACCATTTGTTTATGAAACGTCACACAGGAAAATATGTCCAATAGAAAACCATTTTCACACCTTGTTTAAATAAGACCATCAAGATAATCTGTAATGAAACCCAGCTTATCTACAAGTGGATGCCCTTTTGTCCAAAGTGGACCGGCACCTTGGTGCTGGTTAACTGTCCACCTTTATTCATTTTAAAGCTACAATGAATTTAAAAATGTGAAGCTTAGCTGTAACAAAATAAATAAAAGGATGGCGGTCTAGGATATGCTGCAAAAACATTCAATTCTGCAAAACAAAAGCTCTCAGCATGGAAGATTAAGAAAAATAAAGTAGACTCCCTGGGGGAAGAAAAGAATTGATATGGATTCCGACCTCCTGGGTAATGACATTTTGCTTTTGTCTGCAGTACACAGTACTGCAAGGGGATTTTGAAAAAAAAAAAAGAAAAAAAAGCCACATACATAGATATACTGGTTGTATAATATATGAAAAGAAATGGGTCAAACCACTATAGGTTTTAGCTGCTCATTTGGCCAAATGGATTTACTGCTTGAACTCCAATTACGAGAGTTGTTTTACATCTGGTAGGAAGATCAACAGGTTTTCACTTGTACTATAACAATTAAAGAGGATTAAACATTAACTTCTCAAACCACCAACACAATACACAACTGCTTAATACAAGAATAAAAGAAATACAATCCTAAAAATTTTAATGTAATCTTGTTTGGAGAGATAATACAGACACTTTAGATATCTAGATACCCATCAAGAACTCAAAAGGTTATGGTGCTACAGGCACCACAGTCTTATCAAACCATTTGAGAGGTTTTACAAAACTTAACACGCACAGGTCACCCACTTAAACATGAATCCATCCATCCTTCAATACCGATAAGCTAAAAAGTGCAGGGTGTGGGATAACACCCTAACCATGACTGAGTTGTAGTGCTGCTTAGAATTGCCCTCTAAAAAGGGAGGTTGGGGAGTAGAACAAAAACCATGGGGGGGAGGTTGCTTTTGTTTTTCAAAATGTCTCAATTAGTTGGTCAAACATTACAAGGACAGTGTGCTGTAGTGGTTATGGTGACAGGAGTACCCTGGCACCTTCCCCCTTAAATAAGTAGTGAGGCGGATTGGCAATAGTTTGGCTTCTTACTATGGGTCCGATGGGTGCTCCTCCATGCAGCAGGAAGAGCTCTTCACTGAGCTGTCAGGTTGTGTAGGGCTTGGCTCATTGGCTACAAGCAAACGCCAACACTATCAGCCAGTGACATTGACTTGCACTGCAGGGCTTTGCTCAGAAGAGCCAGTGGAAGATCAGGGGGAAAAAATTACACGAGATCTCAACAGCTGTAGAGAGTTGAGGAACAGATTTCTGACTGACTCCAGACAAAGAGTAAATGTTAACAAATCGGCTACTTATATGATCCTGGCACCAAAAATCTTTATAATTGTGTTTGGAGTGTTACTTTATGCAAAATATGTGATTGAGAAAGATCTTAAAGTACTCTTAAAATTAATCAAGGTTTCAAGCAAAATCAGCTCCAAGAATTAAGCTGAAGAACTAAACAATTCAACAACATGTAAACCCTTACATAACCTCAGCTCTGGAAACTAGTCTATTTTTATTCAAGGATAATCCTTTCCTGTAAAAGAAGTGTTCTGTGATCAGAGTTTCTGTGCATCATGTATCGCCTGCCAGCTGCTTAGAGGAGGTGGTTCACATTGAACAGCCTCATCTTACCCATCACATTACTACATGCCAAATCCAAAGTTACTCAGGTCTATCAGGAACAAAAACCACTCATTCCACACAATTTTCTGGACGTGAAAGGGACAAGATTACAGTCTAGAAAGCAGAGAATACAGTACTTTGCTATACAGAGCTGTGTTCAGTTTGTTTACTTCCTTCAAATGTTGCAGTGATGCATTTAAAGCACTAAATTACATTGAAAAAGCAACATTGGCCAATATCGAATTCAAATTGTTACAAGTCAGAATGTTCTCTGAAAATAGGCAATTAAGAGACAAACATGTCTGGTTCTTACCAAGAAGATAGAAATTATGTTTGCAAATGTTCACTATAGTGTCAGGAAAACAAAGCTGTTTTTCTGACACTATAGTGCCCTGAGGGTGCCCCCAACCTCAGGATCCCCCTCCCATGGTGCTGAAGGTGTTAAAACCCCTTCGGTTACTTTAATCCAGCGCCGGGCTCCCTCGGCGCTGGTGACCTCTCCTCCCTGTCCGTGGAGCTGCGCATTCATAGTGTCCATAGGCAGGCATTTCTCAATGCTTTCCTATGGAACGCTCTGCGCGATGGATGCGAAATTCACATCCAGCGTCGCATATGCACCTCTACTGGCTGTCCGGAAGACAGCAACTACAGGCTGGATTAACCCCAAATGTAAACATAGCAGTTTCTCTGAAGCAGCTAGGTTTCAATCTGAAGGACCTGGCACCCAGACCAATTCATTGAGCTGAAGTGGTCTGAGTGACTAGTGTCCCTTTAACATGCATAGCTTGAGAAATGTCAGCAAAAAAAAAAATTAAACAATTGCACTAACATTCAAAGTGAAAAAAGGTGACCAATGCATCTGAGGAACATTTAGTGTCTCCATGCAGTGGGTGAAGACACTGAATGTCAGTGCTACACTGCAGCACTGTTCCAGAAGGCACCTTTGCTAGCCATCTGAGTAGCTGCCACTGGAGGTATCCCCAGGCTGTAAACTAAACACTGCCTTTTATCTGAAAAAAAAATTACGGCAAAAAGCCTGCAGGAACATGGTAGACCCACAAGCCGCTTCAGTCTAAAGGCTGGAAAAATTTTATTCGATTTTACTTAAAGTACACTATATAGTCACCAGAATATTAAGCTGTAGTTTTGGTGACTATATAGTGTCCCTTTAAGTCAAATTGATTACATTTTGCCGGCCTTTAGACTTTAAGCAGCTTGTTAAAGCAGTCTGATGGGCTAAAGCTCAAGTAACAAAAAGAATGCTCTTCCTGTGTTAGCAGCGTGAATGCTGAACAATGTTCATTTAAATGTACCTACACAGTATTAACAAAAACTGCTGGTATCAAAACCCAAAAGGTCAGTTTTGGCTAAAAACTTTGATGCCAGCTTAGGACACATGGGTAATTAAATAGAAAAAGAGTGCAAAGAATCAGAAAGGGTGATAAAGCCCCTGAACACAAAACTAGACTTATGGACCATGGCAAGGCACAGTTTAAGTGACAATATATAACAGTTTTATTTTTAGATCTAGAAGTTATCTGAGCAATGACTTAATTGGCTGACGTAACCTACTGAACAGACAACATATCTGGAGCATAGTGCGCACTCTACCATATGATTATGGGTTCTGAAGTAGTAAGCTACCAGACACTAGCAATTCATACAGTCATACTAATCAAAGGGAATAGATTTTAAATTAAAAGACCGAGAACAAGCCAAATTGCAACCTTGGCTATATTTGCCTTTACATGCAGTGATATTGTTGGCAGATATCCTGCAGTTCTAGCATCTTTGTTACAATGGCTAAAGTTCTGTTTCACAAAGAAATAACACATAACTAATGTCACTCCAGTTTATTGTAAATAGCTGACGAGATAGAACCTGCACAGAGCTCTGGGTCTCTACTTTAACATACTTTTCTTACTTGCCCAAGAAAGAAAAAGCTAGGCTTGAGAAGGATTTTCAACTAGTGTCGAGGACACATTAAAGCAGTATAAAAAAAAATAAAAAAAATTAAAATACACAACCACAATATGGAAAGTATTACATTTAGAATAACTACATTTGTTGCCGACAAGATTTCTGGCCAGGAAGCAGTTTCTAGGATGTGAGTAGTCAACTACCAGGACATGTGATGCAAGTAATTTTGATTCATTTGTACATTTTATTTGCCATCGGCTTCTACACAAGAAGCAACGGGTTAACATTTCACTCTGAAGAAAAGCAAGTTTTCTTGAGCTAAACCATAAATGTTTTGCCAACGCAAGTGTTAAATCACAGCATGAAAATAGGTTTTTACTTAAAGGGTAACATACAGTGTGGCATTCTTGTGTTGACAGCCATTTAGTGTAATCCAACATTGGTCTGCAGATTGATTTCAGCTATGCTAAATCTCCTTTCCAGCAGGACAACAGCAAGTTGGTGGCCAAAGGTTAAAGCTACACTGCAGACCCATAAAGCAGTTTGTGGAAATGCTTTATTGGTGAAGAGAGTACTCCCACCATTTCAACAGAAATGTGTACTTTAAGTTTACATTGTAACATGCCCCTGGATGTCAGGCAACCTGTCCCACTTCCTGGTTTTTGATGGCTCAATGGAGCTAAAAAGGCAATTGCCCAGAGCACCTCCCTTGCAAAGACCTCATTGGGCGACATTGGGAAGTCTGTAGTTCAACCGCAGAAAGTATAGCCTGGGTTGTAAAAAGATCTGGATCTTTTGCAAGCTGTGTTTAGATAAACCCAAGTGGAATAAAAAAAGCATAATTATATTCATGTATGTTTTCATTAAGTTATATGCACTAAACAGTGGGTTTTTGGGAGGGGATTTAGGCAGCTGGAGTGTCCCTTTAACTCTGGTTAAAGATTCCAAAGTTTATAAAACTGAATTAAACTAAACAGAACTACAATCATGTACAAACTGAAAACAAAAGGTTAATGCCATACCTAGATTATACAAGGAGTTTGCATTCCAGGCAAACCAACACATGCAACATGAACTCTAGTGCTCTATTGTATGTACAAGAGGACAGTCTTCAACAATGTACAGTCAGACTCCTTAGTTGAATTTCCAAACAGCTTACATCCCAGAGATTGATGGGGTAGGGTAAGGAGTAATCTGACAATATAATGCACAGCTTCCTGCAAAGGGTTAGTGATCAAAGCAGATAAAAGAAACTGGAGAATTCTGCATAAAACTGTTCAAATGTCAATGAAAGAACACTGAATAATCTCAGACTGCATGCTGATTGAGGAAGGGAGATAAGGAAAGGAGAAAAAGGAGGCCAAAATTAAACTGAAACAGGGCTGTACCTCTAAGCCATGGAGCACAAACACTGGAAGAACATTAAACTGCACTTAGCTTTACTTTAAGTGCCACACTATCCTGCTCTATAAACATCAAGAATGTACTGGATAAAAGTTAGAAGGGCCCTGGGGAACAAGTATGCACCAGCTTGATATCTACTTCTAACAAACAAGTGCTTATATGACGGAACACACATCCCCCAGATTAAGCAGGAAAATTTATGAGTAATGTGATCAGGTTTAAATAGCATTCTGCCATTATCAGCCCAGGGAAAGAAAGAGGGAAAAATAAAATAAGGGTGGGAGTCACAGGTCTTTAGCAAAAGTGCTTTGAAGTGTCATTGCATGCCCCCTTCACCCCCTCCCCAAACCTAACAAACAGCATGAATCTATCAACTTGCTATGGGTGTCTGAATTACAGAGAGACACACATTAAATGAAAACTGCAAACACCATAACCACTACAGGGCACTATACTGGTTAGAAGTGGCACTGCCTATTGTGAGAAGGTCATTTTAAAGTGGTTTGACCCATTACCTGAGATCAACAAGCTGCTACTACTGGTAAACAATGGAGAGCCAGAAGATCAGCCCTGCCAAGGAATACTTTATTATAGATGCAAAGATTAGTTCCTAACACTAAAGGGTCCCTCTGCTTCCACTTCACCCAGCCGCAAGAGGCATTAAAATAAAAATTAGAATGGATGTCCTTCTACACTGGGTTGCACTCCTCAAGCTATCAGCCAACTGAGGGACCTAATGTGCATGCACCAAGACTGCCTGGTGCGCATTAGGCCTTCCCCCAGGAAAACATTGCCTCAATGCCTTCCAGTGGCATTTTAGAAGATGCTTGGCATTCTCATTCAAAGCATGATGACATACAGCGACACCATGAAAAGCCAGGAAGAGCTTCTAGTGGCTGCCTGGTAGAGACCCTATAGGCAGTCTTAACACTACAATATAAGTATTGCAGTCAAAAAAGAAAACTAAGCAAGTAGATAAAGGGGTCTTTAGTGTCCCTTTAAGGACATCAGACAGTGGAGATGGGAGAAAATAGAACTTGGAAGACCCCCTCAAAAAACAGTTCTTAAAAACTGTCCAACTACTTACAAATTGAGGCTGCAAGGGCACTCCCTGTTACCATAAACACTACAGAGAGGATTGCTACACATGTCAAAAATCTAAGAAATTTAATGTTCTAAGAATAACCATGAAAACAAATGAGAATACAAAAAAAAAAAATACAGACTAAGAACCAAAGTTGTATAGCCTGGATAAGCCATGTACCATTTAGATTTTCTTGTGAGCATGCATCTTTTCCACTATGCTGCAAAAGTAAACAGGACAAAAACCTGGAACTAAGTAGCAATAGTGAGATAATAGGTGTACTTTCATAGGAAACACATCACAATAATACTGATGACAGCTCAAAATTAGTCATATCTTTATAAAATCAGAAGCCATTCCCTAATAAAGTAAAAATGCTGCTGCTTTTAAAGCATGATTAAAAGCAGTTTTTACATTTGTGTCAACATGTAAACACCACACCCAACACAATACAGTGCACAAACGTATTTACTAAAGGTCCCATTTTCTGCTTAATTACTAGGAAGAGTTTTTCTAGAAAAGAAGACCATTGCATACCAGTGTTGGAAATACCTAGTAAGTTTCCAAACTAGTATAAAAACACTGCTTCACAAACAGGATGCTGTGTAACATTGCTCCTTTCAATCACAGCCCAGTAGATAAAGTAGGTCAAGACATAAAAAGAAAAAATGTGTGAGTCATTAAAGCATTCAATAGATAATTGATTTAATTACAAACCCTTTGGGACAAGGGGTTAGGCAAACCTTATCAAGTATTGAGTGTCATTGGTCGCCATGGGGATCTACATTGTAGGATACCTGCAGAATTAGAGGCAGAAAAGGTTTTACAACCCGGTATAAACTACTCAAGATGGACAAACCTGCTCCTTGGGAGAAAGAGGGGTTATACAATAGGAGATAAAAATGCTGCTGCTTCAGTGTCTAATCCATTTTAGAACAGCTATACAGTAGACTATATTTTGTTATTGCTATACAATTAAAATTAATGCATACAAACAAGTAGTTTAGCCCAGATAAATACATTTATGAAATAAAAAAACATTTGAAATTCCTGCCAGCAAATAAGCACTGAAATAACTTCAGGATTTGAAAAACCCAAATCAATACAAATACCAAAAACAGACTGCAGATGACCTCCATTTTTCTACTGGAAAGTCAAACTTATTGCATCTCAAAACGGTCTTAGTCCTTAAAGGGGCACTGTAGGCATCCAGACCACCTCAGCTCATTGAAGTGGTCTGGGTGCTGTGTCCCTTTTGCATTTACATTGCAGCTCTAAGTCTGCCCTCTGTGGCGGTCTACCAGCCACTAGAGGGCTTCCGGAATCCAAAACGGACTTTTGGTCTGTTATCTGATGCTGGACGTCCTCCAGTGTCAGATACTCCCCATAGGAAAGCATTAGATAATGCTTTCCTATGGGGAGGGCTAATGTGTGCGGAGCGTGGGTGGAGCCTGACCCAGCGCAGAGTGACATTGGCGCTGGATCCAGGTAAGGGACATAAGGGGTTTTAACCCCTTCAGCCCCGAGATGGGCACTATAGGATACATTTAAGGGAGTTACAGTGATACAGACTTTTCCGGCTGTTCATCTTCCACATGCAAGCAGATGAACCCCTTGCAGGCCAGAAGAGAGTTCAGTTAGTCAGTATGTAGTTCTGCCACACAGCAAAACAATTCATAACAGATTACTAGACTTGCTGATTAAGCCAAGGGCTGTTATAAGGCTACACACATCCAGGAGGTAGAGATTGCCCCAGCATGTGCACTCTAGAGTAAGAAGGGGTTGTCCTCTAGCTGCTGAGTGTTGCAAACTTCTACAGTTACATGCAACAGGGTACATGGTTGTAGGGGCCTATTTACACTAGGAGTTATTTCGAGAGATGAGGAAAGAAACAATACCCTATATGTATTGAAAAGGGGACTATTGGTTCCCTGAAAACTCAAACTCAATGAAACAGTCTTTGTTCAGTGCTCTGGTCATGTAAAACATTGCAGTTTAGCCTTGAAATGGAAACACTAGTATCTACTAAACTCTTTTTAGTGGCTGTCTTCCCGACAGCCACTAGAGGCACTTCCACCGTAAGAACTTTTGAATTCTAATATTTAGGAGGGTCCCAAATCTAAACACGACGAACACTATAATGTAAGGAATGTTTCACAATCCTATAAAGTGTCCCTTTAAAAAGGTACAATCTTAAGTGATTTTGGGGCACAGATGCGACCTTTCAAATGGAAAGCGTCCTTTCTGCAAAAACATGAGTTGCATATAGCATTCCAAATCTACTAACTTCTGCTAGACAGTCACTAGGGGCTTCAGACAGTTGCATCAAACATGTCCAAGTATGCAGACACTGGCACTGTATCCATCTAATGCTTCTCCAAAAGCACTGGACTCCTGTTTTAAAGCAAAGCACTGGAAATGTGAATCAGAGCAAATGCTACACAAGTACACTGTCCTCAATGCGTCACAAGAAGCATCCTCCAAAGATTTTTCCACCTACAGCCAAGTCATTGAGGCATCATTCGTTAGCTCAGAAAAAGTCCTGGCTGGCTAATGTGAAAATCTGCCATCTGATGCCAGCACACATTGCATGCTGGTCCAAACATCCAGTAGTGGCCTGGCCACCCCTCTGTGCTGCTGGTATCTTCCTTTCATGCCACCCTCCCCACATCTGTCCCCTTTAAGCAACTAGTGAAAAATAAAAAATACAAACATTGTCCTTTCTGTTTACACACAGGCCTGCAAACAGATTGAAGCAGTTACTGTTGAATTGCTACAAGCAAGGTTAGAAAAGGTCTGTATTTCCTCCAACAGGACATTTTCCATTTGAAGATTTTGAAACTATGAATAGAGTGTATTATGCATGTTTAATAAAAATAAATTCATATACAGCATAGATAACATCTCACATTCCTATAATGAATGGGAAATGGTGCATGGAGCACCTCCATGCAGCAGATATAGGTCCTGTCTGCACAAGATTAGTTTGAGTTACACCCCTGAGAGATTTTACAGGATGGAGACTGAAATAGCTGTTGCCTGATGGAAACATACATTATGTTCTGCCGTCCTAGAGAAGTTCAAGGCAAAAGTAATCACCTTCAATCATGATGGTTGTCCTTTTGCAAGTCATTAGCAAGATCAAACATGGCTGACAAACTTTCTAGTTTCACATAACTAAAACATTACAATGCTCACATAGGCAAAGTGCAAATACTTATGGATAAGTTATGCCTTTATGAAGAGTTTGTGTATGACTGTTCTATATACACATAATGCAATACCTATACTTTAATCCGTGTTCTACATTTGGATACCCTCATATTAATATGCAATATTACCCAAGCCTGTGAAAAAAAAAGTGGATATACTATTAAGGGTGAGGAAAACAAATGTGTCCTATCTCTCTTGAACAGTGGGAGGGAGGTATTACAGAGGATCAGGAACAAATAACTGTTAGTGACTGATAAATTAAGCCTGCCCACAGAACAGAATACGGCAAGGGTTTATTCACTACACCAAGTTGAGGGGAATTGAAAACAGAACTCCAATGTAAAAGTAGCCCAGCCATTTTACCCAAACTAGTTATTGTATCCAAAATTTTACAATTCTGATTCATAAACAAGTTGGTGAATATCAAACCCCACAGCTAACTTTTATAAGTGGCAGTTAAGGGTCTGCTGTTGGTAGTTTACAGAAGACTTATTCTCTGAACGTTCAGGAATTAAAGCCAAGTGGAAAAACTGAAAGAAAGAAAATAAAATAGCATAAAGCTGTGACTATGGCTGAGCTGGAGAGTTTAATAACTATAGATCTATATATAAGAGCCTCTGAAAATATAACTAGTAATATGACATTTCTCTAGTGTAAGCACACTGTAACAGGAGACTACAGCGACTGTGCCTGATCACCAGCAAATACAAGTGACTAAGGCAAGTGCTGAAAGAACTCCTATTGTGTTAACCATGAATTAATTTACACCATACACAAAGACAGAACACATTTTAGCTCCATATCCATGAAATTACAAAAAAAGCGGTCATACTTACAAACCCATACTGCAGGGTTGGTGATGTCACAGTTTATGACATCATGCAAGGTGGGCATTTCTTACCATAATGATATAACACATTCCTGCCTTCCAAAAATTAGTACCAGCTATACTCATTAGCAGCTGCAACCATTGATTCAGTTTATTTCCCTTTAAAATGGTATGCCAGGAATGGGGCAGGGGAAGCAGATCGTCCCAACTCCTTTCCCTATTATGTAATATGGAATTACACAAGTGTGGAATATACATTAGGAATTCGTGCATACTCTGCCTTTAGTCTCAGTTTAAGAGACGCCCCATGGTATTAGATTGACCCCATGCTGCCAGCTGGCCGAGCACCCTGTGAGTGGCAGACCCCATGCTGCCAGCTGGTCGAGCACCCTGTGAGTGGCAGACCCCCCATGCTGCCAGCTGGCCGAGCACCCTGTGAGTCGCAGTGACAGACCCCCATGCTGCCAGCTGGCCGAGCACCCTGTGAGTGGCAGACCCCCATGCTGCCAGCTGGCCGAGCACCCTGTGAGTGGCAGACCCCCATGCTGCCAGCTGGCCGAGCACCCTGTGAGTGGCAGACCCCCATGCTGCCAGCTGGCCGAGCACCCTGTGAGTGGCAGACCCCATGCTGCCAGCTGGCTGAGCACCCTGTGAGTGGCAGAGCCCCAGCAGGGGTGCCCGAGGTGAGCCATGGCAGGTGATGTCCCCGGGGAGCCGCAGGTGCCGTGCCCTGGCCTGGTTCGGTGGGTACTTACCGCTGGTGGGTGGGGAGTCTCAGCCGCTGGTGACAGGCGCAGCCGGGGAGGGTCCGGATCCCCGCCGCGGGCTCATCATCAAACTCCGGGGAGGAAGCCCGAGTGCCAGTCCTTCCCACAGCGGCGGCGGGGGCTCGGGCTGGGGGCCGGGAGGCAGCGAGATCCCCGCACTCCGGTACCGGCTCCGGGCCCGGCTCTCCGCCAGCTAGCGGCGGCTGTTCCTCCTCCCCCTTCCCCCGGACTGTCAGCAGGCCGCGCAGGGCCAGCCCGGGTGTCCGACACGGGAGCGGCGGCTGTTCCGGAGGATGAGGAAGGGGCGAGGGTCGGTGACGGAGGACAGGGAACCTTCCACAGCCAGCGGCACAGCCAGACCCGACGAATGGAGGCGAGAGAGGAGAGCCGAGAACCAAGCCAGGCGTGACTAATCGATCCGGCCTGCAGATCCCTGAGCGAATGGAACTTTCCCTTTGACGTCATTGAGTGAAAGCGGCTGGAGGGGGCGGGGCTTAGCTGACCTCAGGTTCGGTGTGACGCACTCTAGGCAGAGACAGGCCGATGGCACACGCATGCGCAGTGTGTCGCTTTTTCTCTTCGTAGAAACTTCGAACCCTTGAATTGGGGTTTTGTTTGCTACTTGGTAAACAGTGAGACGTGATAAACACACCCCCCCCTCCCCCTCCAGTGCAGCAAATACATCATAATGTTTTTCCATTTGGGTTGTAGGGAGCAGAGCCAGTTGCACAAGTATAGGAGAAAAAAGTGACATTTCAGGTTGGTCACCTAGCCATCCCTTTGCAGTGGTTATGGTTCCAGAAATTGTCAAACCTACTAAAGAGTTTTACCAAGTACCTGGGTCTCACTAAAGCCTGTTGCTTTCCCATTCTGCAAACCACACATCTCAGACTCTTTATATAAATGTTTGGATGCAATCACATTTTATTAAAATGAACGCTCTAAGCACCATAACCACCGTAGCTTAATGTAATGTTTCCGGGGCACAGAGTCAGTCTGCAAAAAGGCAGTGTTTTACACTACTGCCTAATTCCTTAAAGGGATCCTAGAGTGCCAAGAAAAACTAGTTTTCCTGGCACTAGAGACTCCTGGAATGCCCCCCTTCTGCCACTTACCTGAATCCAAATGCCGATGTCCCACAGCGCTGTGTCAGGCTCCGCCCACACTCCTCCCCAGCCGCTGGCAGGAGAGTCCCAATGGGCATGCGTGGCAATGGCCACGCAGGCATTAGACCTCCCCATAGGAAAGCATTCAGTGTGAAGACCTCCAGCGTCAGATAACGGACAAAAAGTCAGTTTGGATTCCGGAAGCGCCCCCGGTAGCTGTCTGGTAGACAGCCACTGGGGGCAGACAGTTGCAATGTAAACATTGCAGTTCTCTGGAAAGGCAATGTTTTACATTGCAGCACGAAGTGCAAAAGGGTCACAGCACCCAGACTACTTCAAGTAGCTGAAGTAGTCTGGGTGCCTACAGTGTCCCTTCAACCAATGGTGGTCATTCAGATAGCTAAAATGATCTCATTGGTAGAGCACTACAAAGATCACAGGACAATATTCAAATATCTCCACTCCCTGCACGGAGGCATCTGAGAAGATGCTTATTGTTGCACAAGTAATTTTGCAGTTAAATAGTGGAAGGAGTCCATAGTACGCTCATAGACACAGCAAAGGGAGCACTCAAAAGCCCTAGAGGGTGAGGTCCTATATGGATACAATAGAGACACCCCCCCCACCACATACAACCTAACAGGCGACACCATGCACAGGGAAACAGTCCAGTACACTCGAGACAACCTGGAAACCAGTTGCATTGGCACTTAATCCCCACGTCAGCCTACTTCAGCAATAACGGAAGGAAAATAGGGCAAGGGAAGCCGTCCACCTCCCCACACGTGACACGTAATGAGAGTCCTCAGGGGACCAAAGCAACTATAGAGCAAACAATTGATATAGCACAAAACACGATACGTAAGTGGTGTGGTAGTTACCAGTTGTAGGTACCCTTATCTCATACACCCCAAGTTGGTAGGGGCATGGACAGTGAATGGACCACCCAGGGCCGTCTTTAATACTGATTGGACCCTGGGCAGGCATTTGCTTGGGCCCACTGGGCCTAGCATGAAATCACACACTCCACCCCCACATAAAAACAAAACAAAAACAAACTTAGCCGCACTCATTTTTACGGAGACAAAATACACACACTGACACACATACAGAGGCAGACACTGACATACATAGAGATACACACATACACAGGTACAGACAAACAAAGACAGGTACACATACACACAAGTGCACATGCAGATACACATCTACACACATCCACAGATACACTCACTGACAAACATGCAGATAAACAGGCACACTAGCACACATACAGATAAACACACTGACAAACATGCAGATACGCACAATAACATATATACATACACATGCAGATACAGACACATTGACACACTAACACAGATACAGACATATTCAAACACACAGAATGATACACATTTAGATACACACTGACAGACATTTACACGCACAAATACACATTCAAACACACAGATAAACATACAAAGAAACAGATACGCATACATACACACAGTTACACAAGTACAAACAGATACAGAGACAGATAGGCATACGGATACACAGATACAGATATGCATACAGACACACAGATACACAGACAGATAGGCATACAGACAAAGACAGATACAAATGGACACAAACACAGACACAAAAACAGATATACATACAAACATGCAACACCCTCCTGTTTCCTATCTTTTAGGTGCAGGATGGTGACTCCCCTGGGGTCCAGTATCTGCCTCATGTTGATGAGTGTGAGCTCTGACTCACCCCTCCCTTCTCTCCTTATCCTCCTGTGCGGCGCTCGGTGAATGCTGGGAGGCAGTGACCTCCCAGGATTGTGAAATCACCACAAGGGGCCCGGTCACGCTCTTAGAGCGCCGCAGCGCTGACCGAGCCCCCAGAAAATACATTGCCATCGGGTGGCTCTTAAATCATGGGCCACCTCATTGTGTGGCCCACGGTGGTAGTTCCAACGGGCTGCATGTACCACGATGGCCGGCAGGCTGAAGGGGCAACTGCTTTGGGCCCCCTAGGATGACAGGGCCTGGGGCAGCTGCCCCTTTTGCCCCGTGTTGAAGACGGCCCTGGGACCACCACACCGGTCTGGCAACTAGTAAGTCCAGACACACATTCTCTAAGTTTCATCTTTTCTTTACTCTTATCTCCCTCTCTCCCCCACCCCCCTTCTACGTCGGTGACTGGGGCGGCACGGTGACTTGGAGCCACACTGGAGGGTCCACGACGCTGGGACACACCTTGTTCAAGAGTCAGAGACCAAGGTTAGGCACACTACCCAACTGCAGGGGTGACTTTAAAACTGACATCTATTAATGTTAAAGGACTGAATGCCCCAAAAAAGAGAAGACTGGTGTTCCGAGAGTTGAAAAAGACTATGATCTGACAGCCTTTTTACAGGAGATGCATATTTCCAAACCTACATTCCAATTGCGGGACCACACATACTCCACTACATATGAAGCCAGATCACATCGTAAGGGCAACGGGGTAGCTATACTCACATAACAAATGCCCAATCCTTATAGTAACATCAGACCTAGACACGGAAAGGAGATATGTAATACTGTCAGGCACCCTATACTCCCATCCAGTACACCTGATCAATATTTACACGCCTAATGCACCAGACACCATCTTCTGGGGGAACATACACACAAAAATCAAACCCCTACCACATGGCATGCTCATTGTAGGGGGTGATATGAACGCCGTACCATGCCCAGCCGCAGACCGAAGCTACGGTAGAGGCCAATAAAGATCGCAGGGGAGAGGAAGCTAGGACAAAATATTCCATGAATTCATCCCGGACGGGACGTACTCCAGGATAGATCATTTCTTGTTGATGTTAGTATGGCCAGAGTGGTGGATTCGACGATCGGGTCCATTACGTGGTCAGACCACACCGACATATCGTTGACATTAGGAAATCTAAGTACGGCTTCACCGTGGACCTGGAAATTGAACCCCCACCTGTTGAGAGACCGTGAATCCCAGGAAGCAATCCGAAAAGAACTTCAAGATTACTTCACAAACGAAACGGAGGACATGTCCCCCACACAAGGCTGTAATCAGGGGCACATGCATCAAATTGGCCACACGGAAAAAAGCCCAAAAGATGCAGAGGCTGGCCCAACTATTAGAATCACTAAGAAAGGTGAAACTACAACACAAGACTGCACAGACTCCACAGATCCTGGAACATCTAAGACCAGACGATCCATCACCAAACTACTATTGGAAGACAACGAAAGCGCTCATATGGACCAAGAGATCCTATTATGAGAAAAATAAGATGGACAATCTATTGGCTAGGACACTACATCCACGACAGGATAGGACACACATCACCTTGATCAAACAAAGATGGTTCCATCAAAAATACCCTCTCAGACATAGCTCAGATCTTCACAGACTACTACGAGAAGCTCTACAATCACACACCCAGAGCCCCTACGGAACAGGAAGAGACGGAATCGCAAATTAAAGCCTTCCTGAAAGATCTCGACCTACCAAACCTCCCAATAGCAGCAGCTCAACTATTGAACAACAACATTACAGGAGAAGACATAGATAAGGCAATAGCAGGCCTCAAAGGCAATAGAGCCCCAGGACCAGACTGGGAGCGTACAGAACCTTCAGAGAAGAACTCACCCCGCTTGGAAAGGCTTTTCAATGACTTTATGGAAGGTGGGAACCCAGAGAAGGAGAGGTCAATGGCTAACATAATACTACTCCACAAACCAGGGGGAGACCCTTTACTCCCAGACGACAGACCCATCTCCCTTATCAATCACGATATAAAGATCCTAGCGAAAATTCTGGCGGACCGTCATCCCTTTTTAAAAACCCTAATCCACCCGGACCAAGTGGGTTTCATACCCAACCAACAACTATTTGAGAACACCAGAAGAAACATCAGCCTCATTTGGGACAAACGACCACGGACACGCCTACCGTAGTAGTATCGATAGATACTGAGAAAGCCTTTGATAGGGTAGAATGGCCCTATCTTTTTAATCTCCTGACGTTTTGGGGATTCCCGGAAAAATACGTGTCCACCATTAAAGCCATGTATAACCAAGTGTACGCACAAGTGAAAATCGCCGGCGCCAGGCCTAAAGCCTTTAAGCTGGGGAACGGAACAAGGCAGGGATGCCCCCTATCCCCGCTCTTGTTCGTGCTCACTCTGGAACCACTTTTACAAGCTCTACGTAAACACCCTCTCATACAAGGGATTACGGTGGGAGGACAGGTCCATGGGTGCCCTACAGGAAGTCCTCACAAAATTTAGAGCTTTCTCGGGCTACAAGGCCAATTTAGAAAAATCCAGCGCTCTGCCGATGGGCCTGTCTGC